CCTGTCCAACCAATAATCAGCTCCACCTGGACATTGACGGCGTGGCAGGAAGCAGGGATCGGTCGTCAAACCGGCGGCGTTAGTGGGTCACCCACCATGTGGCGACCACAGACGCCAGCGCACCAATCAGTGAGCTTGCTGCGGCAGAATGGGCGGAGTTACACAGATCCGAGTTGCAGCACTTGAATGTAAAACTGGACACCTATCAAGCAAAAGATGGGGATCAATACTTTCAGAACGCCGTACATCTTCAGCGAATGACTCGTTCTCTTACCTGTGGGAACATCTGTCCCAGTCGGCCGTACTCGCAGTCTGAATACTTGAGGCACTGGCGATAGGTCATCCCTCCTGGAACACGGGCACAAAGGAGCCACTTCAACCTCTCGTTGTCATACATCACTGAACACAGTCTGAATCTGCTCAGGGGTGACTTTTTTTTTTTTTTGTTTTTTGTTTTTTACCGACAAGTTATCGACCAATTTGTTGAGTTCCGTGGTTCCCAACCTTTACTGATGCGAGGTTTGCACCACCAAACAAAAAGATCACAAAATGCATCTACAGGGGTGCCTTGTGACTTAACGTCACACTGTTAAAAAAAAAAAACGTATTCGTGGGGGCTTTAAACATTAATTTCAGTTGGAACAACTTTAAAATATTGAGGACTGACACTTATGGCAGCAATGTTAGTTAGCATAACAAAGCAAGCAAGTTGTCTGCTCCAAAAGAATTTTCTGAGTTGCTATTATTGACATCTTTTCGAAGTTGGGGCGTCATCATTTTCGAGCGGCACCTCTCTCTGTGAGCGTCAGACAGGCGTCATCATAGCTGCAGTCGCGTTGTTTGGAGCAGCTGGCCTTGGTTGGTCCAACCTTTACTGATGCGAGGTTCGCACCACCAAACAAAAAGATCACAAAATGCATCTACACGGGTGCCTTGTGACATAACGTCACACTGTTAAAAAAAAAAAAAAAAAAGTATTCTTGGAGGCTTTAAACATTAATTTCAGTTGGAACAACTTTAAAATATTGATGACTGACAATAATGGCAGCAATGTTAGCACAACAAAGCAAGCAAGTTGTCTGCTCCAAAAGAATTTTCTGAGTTGCTACGATTGACATCTTTTCGAAGTTGGGGCGTCATCATTTTCGAACGGCACCTCTCTCTGTGAGCGTCAGACAGGCGTCATCATAGCTGCAGTCGCGTTGTTTGGAGCAGCTGGCCGTGTAATCTTTACAACTGTAACAGCGAATTGCTGAGCCTGAAAGAAATTCATCACACGTTTCGCATCGCTTCTTCAAGCGGGTTTCACAGCGTAACAATTAATGCTTAGATTAATAAGAAGAGAAAACTCTTAAAGAGTGGAACATACCAAGTCCGAGCAGAGTGAAGCAGGAAAAAAAAAAAAAGTATTCTTGGAGGCTTTAAACATTAATTTCAGTTGGAACAACTTTAAAATATTGATGACTGACAATAATGGCAGCAATGTTAGCACAACAAAGCAAGCAAGTTGTCTGCTCCAAAAGAATTTTCTGAGTTGCTATTATTGACATCTTTTCGAAGTTGGGGCGTCATCATTTTCGAGCGGCACCTCTCTCTGTGAGCGTCAGACAGGCGTCATCATAGCTGCAGTCGCGTTGTTTGGAGCAGCTGGCCGTGTAATCTTTACAACTGTAACAGCGAATTGCTGAGCCTGAAAGAAATTCATCACACATTTCGCATCGCTTCTTCAAGCGGGTTTCACAAAAAGAAACAGCGTAACAAGATTAATAAGAAGAGAAAACTCTTAAAAAGTGGAACATACCAAGTCCGAGCAGAGTGAAGCAGGTCAGGACAAAGATGCCAACAGAGAACTTCATGTTCACCTCAGCACAGCACAAATTCTGAAATGACAAATGTACTACTTTGAACTGCGTGCACTGAGTACAAACTGTATAACAGCAACATTGACTTGATGCAGGCCACTTATTGTATTTACTACCACGTGTATTTTCTATATATTGTATTTGTGTATGTTAATGTGTGTCAAATGTGTGGTTTTTTTTTTGTGTGTGTTTGTGTGTGTGCGTGCGTGCGTGTGTGTGCGCGTTAGTTCTTCATCGTGTGACCAGTGGAGGGCAGCATTATACTTCACGCAGCTCGTGCGTTCCTTATGAGGAGGACAGCGTAACAAGATTAATAAGAAGAGAAAACTCTTAAAAAGTGGAACATACCAAGTCCGAGCAGAGTGAAGCAGGTCAGGACAAAGATGCCAACAGAGAACTTCATGTTCACCTCAGCACAGCACAAATTCTGAAGTGACAAATGTACTACTTTGAACTGCATGTACTGTGTACAAACTTTATAACACCAACATTGACTTGATGCAGACCACTTATTGTATTTACTACCACGTGTATTTTCTATATATTGTATTTGTGTATGTTAATGTGTGTCAAATGTGTGGTTTTTTTTTTGTGTGTGTTTGTGTGTGTGCGTGCGTGCGTGTGTGCGTGTGTATGCAGAGTCCTCACCCAACTGCAGAACTTGAGTGATGCCAAGGCATTCGCTAACTGACCAAAAGTGTTCCTGGCTGAAAATTAGGCTGCGAGACCACACCCCCAAGGGAGGAGCCTGTAAGAGCAGGTTGGTGTGGCTGGAAGAGACAAACAGCAAGATATTCTTCGGTGATTGTTAAATACTTTGGTACTTTCAATTTGGAATGTTTTTTTTTTTTGTTTGTTTGTTTGAAATGTAGAGCTTTTTTTTTTTGTCACAGTGTTTGATTCATGAATGGACCAAAACATTTAAAAGGGAAGTTAACTAGCATTCTATGGAGCACCACTGTAAATTAGACTTGCCCACAAAAAAAAAAAATGAGGTCATCACAATTTTACATCAAATGCGGTGCTGCATCGTCTTTTCCAGTTTTCAGCAATTGTCTTCAAACATGTACAATATATTGAGAAACAAATTTGACAATTCATTTACAGCAAGGGTACCCAATCCACCTCCCACGATCGACCCGCTACCGCTACGTGCACGCATACACACACGCGTGCCATGATGAGCGACAGCTAGAACGGCCCATCACAATTTTACATCAACTGCGGTGCTGCATCGTCTTTTCCAGTTTTCAGGAATTGTCTTCAAACATGTACGATATATTGAGAAACAAATTTGACATTTACAGCAAGGGTGGACAACCCACCTCCCACGATCGACCCGCTACCGCTACGTGCACGCATACACACACGCGTGCCATGATGAGCGGCAGCTAGAACGGCCCTGAACAGGAACGAAACAGAAAAATAAAGTGGATATGAGAACTTGTGAGTTTGTAAAAAGGAATCAGTGCCTACCTTAGTCGAGACCTAACGCGGCGGCATCGGACACACTTTGGCAGCGTCTTCAGGGCAACAACGTCACTATCATAGCTGACGTATCGTTTTAAAATGTTTCTCCTGGCGCTCCAAATTCCCATTCTTTGCCAGTGTCATCAGTGAATTGTACATGAAACAAACTTTGAATGAGAATAATAAAAATTTTAAAAAAGATACAAAGCAACGGCTGTGATCGTAAGCTGCAATTGCAGACTGGTGACTGCTAACAACTTCTGGTGATGCTGGTCAGGTGCCGCCTTAGGTTAAAGGTGACCGGCTTTGTTATATTATTTTATTTTTTAAATGTTTTTGGGTTTTTTTTGTGTGTGTGAAAGCGAAACTGAAAGGATACTTAGGGTGCAGTGTGCATTAACACAAAAATATAGAATATTAAAAACATGCACACACCTCTTTTTTTTTCTTTCTTTTTTTTTTAATTTTTTTTATCCATTTCCCCCAAGACCCTCGCGATCCCTTTTTTTTCTTTCTTTTTTTTTTATCCATTTCCCCCAAGACCCTCGCGATCGACTTGGGACCAGTTCGTGGGCTACCAGTGTATCCCGATCGACTGGTTGGGCACCCCCTGACTTACAGGGTCTGTGCAGACAGAGAGAGAAAACAAGACAGAGAGGATGAGGAACGAGAGGACAATGTGCACAACAACAGCCGAAGCAACAAGAGGAACATTCTCATCATCACAGCGTCAGCAATGAAAACAGTCCACTCGCGGTACCAACATTGCCAGCGTCACCGGCGCCTATAACAAGCATGAAGGCGCAACGGAGCAGTCGCCAGCCAGCTACAGTTCATATGCGTTTTTTTTTTCTTTTTTCACACACCGATCATATGCCATTCGCTGGCATGCCACAGAGTGAGAGAACATGAAGCTGGAAACTGGATCAGAGTGGCACCACGCTGACCTCGTCACAAGCTCATTGATCGGAGAAGAAAAGTTGGCGTGTGTCATGGTGCCACAGGGACAAAGAAAGCATAGAAAAAGACAAACGGCCAGTGTGAGCCGGGACAACGCTCTGCAGCGCCAACACAAACAAAGATGCTACAGAGTGACACGGCTTGTTTGCTTCAGCTACAAACCTGACTTTGATCTCCCCACGCCCCGCCCCATTCCCCCCCATATGATGTCATCAGTCCTTCTGGCTGCCGATTGGTCCGCGGCCGACAGGTGAGCAGCAGCTGCGATGACAGAGGAAACCAGAATGGCATTAAAGATTGAACAGCTTCAGCTCGATTTGATGCTAAGAAGGTTGCGGGTGAGTTTCTGCTAAACAACAGCGTCTTACAAAGTCCAAAACAAATGAAGAAGTTATCAGAAACATTTAGTTTGCTGACTAGAAATACTTCTTTTTGAACATCGAGGTCATTGAATGTCATGATATATTGTTTCCTTTATATGTTGATGGGTTAATATTTCAGAACACAGCCCTAAGATGTTACAATTTCATATGATCCTTACTGTAAATGTCGCTTTTCTGAAGAACAGAAGCATTTTTGTGACACTGTTATTTCATTTTTAGACAAACCCCCTTCATGGATGTCACCAGTCTCAGTAAGTTCTTTAATTTATGTTTTTCTGGTTTCCCCAATCCCGTTTTATTCACAGAGGAGTAGTAGTGCCTCAGTGGTGTCTTGAGATACGATTTCAATTCATTCCACGACAACACCAAACAATCCAAGCTCAAGTCATCTTTCTCCGCTGGCATGAATGGAAGACTCAACAATCCATTTCAGCCTCCCACAAACCAACACACATATTTTTTGCTAAAGTGTTTTTTTAATTAGAAAAATAACGCAACCATGCTGATAAAGAAAAAATGAAGACGTTATCAGAAACATTTAGTTTGCTGGCTAGAAATACCTCTTTTTGAACATCGAGGTCATTGAATGTCATGTTGTATTGTTTCCTTTACATGTTGATGGGTTAATATTTCAGAACACAGCCCGAAGATGTTAAAATTTCATATGATCCTTACTGTCAATGTCGCTTTCCTGATGAACAGAAGCATTTTTGTGACACTGTTATTTCATTTTTAGACAAACCCCCTTCATGGATGTCACCAGTCTCAGTAAGTTCTTTAATTTATGTTTTTCTGGTTTCCCCAATCCCGTTTTATTCACAGAGGAGTAGTAGTGCCTCAGTGGTGTCTTGAGATACGATTTCAATTCATTCCACGACAACACCAAACAATCCAAGCTCAAGTCATCTTTCTCCGCTGGCATGAATGGAAGACTCAACAATCCATTTCAGCCTCCCACAAACCAACACACATATTTTTTGCTAAAGTGTTTTTTTAATTAGAAAAATAACGCAACCATGCTGATAAAAGTACCGGTAGTTGTCTTCTGGGAGGATAAATAAAATATGCATACGAGTATCGTTATATCGTCTGCTGATGTGTTGCTGCGTCATTCGTGTTCAAACAGGCGTTGCTTCAAGGGCGATAAGAGTGTGACACGATGCCATTTGGGAGCCCGTCTGGGGCGTTTTCGCAGTATTTGTTAGCATTACGCCAAGTAGACGTATGTAAGGAAAATCTAAGCTGTTGATTTAAATACGCATACAACTGGAAGTGGCCAGAAACATCTTGAAGCCTCTTTTTGAAGAATTGCTCACTCTGTGCCCGACTGCGGTGCGGTTTGTTGTGGAGTTGAGTTGACGGCTTGGCTCTTGAAAAACTCATAAGTCGCTCGTATCACAAGGCACTGCTGTGAAGTCGAGGCTAAAATTAGCTAGGTTGTTTAGCGCAAGTAACGGGAGAGTCTTCATCATCTCTTCCTTTCTCAATCAAATAATCGACAAGGCCTTTTTATTTTTCAGGGTACTGTAAGATGTTTTTGAAATGAAAGTTTTGGGATCAAAGTTTGTCGTCTATTTTTATGGTTCAAACGGGCAGTTGAACTCTTTCCACGACGCACTGTTTGTTTGTTTCAAGTTTCCGGGCTGGAGGACTTCGATAAAATCCGTCCGCCTGCCTACAGAGTCGCACTGAAGCTTGAAAGTCTACAGAACATCTGTCGCAGTGGGTTGAATCCGGGCCTTTTCCTGCTTTGTGTTTTACATTTCATGCCTTGCTCTTTGGCGGTTGCTTTTGAACTTCCAAGTCCCTCGTTCCTTTGAGGAATTCATTCGTCATTGTGCTTCCAGTGGATGTCGTGTCGGCTCGCCACATCGAGGCCGCCTTCGACTTGGGGGGCAGAGCCAAGCGGGGGCGAGATTCTATCTTGAGCAAGGAGCAAGTAACCCAGCGCCTGAACGGGATGTTCCGGAGTGCGTCGCCGGAATTTGCAGATCGTTCCACTGCGGAGCCGACGGAAAAATTATGCAGTCTTATATTCAGGATGTTTGACAGGTGAAATCTCATTGAGAGATGGATGACAGGTGTCCTCGTCATTAAAAAAAACAAAAAAAGTTTCCCTTTTGCTGCCTATTGCTCATATACGATGCAATTCTTGCAAAAAAAATCAGCGTGCCTATTTTTGGGACACCCGGGATACATTGTTGGATTGTGCACGTGGTTTCCAATTGGGTGTGTACTGTACGCGTGTTTCAGGAATCAGTTGGGTCAAGTAAGGGCGATTTCTCTCCATCTTGCTCTCATCTGTTTATCGGCGGAAACTCTCCTGCGGAAATACGGAGGTGAAAAATATGCTCCTTTGAAAATATTGACGTTGTTTTTGAGCAAATGAGTTTGCTAACACGGATGACTGTGCCTCAGCACTGGCGTGCGCAGCGGCAAGCGCTTCCGGATCCATCAATAGGTCGTCTCTTAGATCTGTGTTGGAGGATGTCGACCAGGTAACACAAACTAACTACATTTCCCATCGTGCCTTTGTCATCTGACTCCCCGAACGGATGCACGTTTAGGTTCCTGCACTCATCCAAGAGGAAGGGGTGTTTGGTGCTGTTGAAGAGGCGGTCGAGTCGTGCTTTCACGGAGTGAGACAACATTTTTTGGAGCAGTTATCTATTTGGAGAGAGTTTCCGTTAACATTGTCACAGACTTTTAGGTAGTTGATTTACCTTGCATGGTTCAAGAACAAGAAAACCAAATTAGATTTAGTCAGAAACCTTTAAAAAAAAAAAAGTTCAAATGTTCACAGGTGCTGACCTCCACCATAGGCAGGGGACATGTGTCATCGTGGCTGCAGAGTGAGCCTCGTTTGTTGCAATGGCTACCTGTACTGTATCGTCAGTTCATAAGTCAGAAGGTCGTTCACGCCGTCCGCTGTCATATCTGCAAAATATTTCCCATCAATGGACTCAGGTGGGTACCATCTATTTGTGAATTCAACTTTTTGGAACCGATCCGATCCTATTTGTACCGTATTTTCCGCACAATTAGGCGCACCGAAAGGTCTTCCATCTTCTTAAAAGCTCCCAGTGCGCCTTGTGTATGGTCATTACGGTGATATACAGAATTTATTTTGTGATTTCCTCGTTTGTGAATACAGTACTCAACAAAGGAATTAATAACAAACACTTCTGAGACAGTCCAGTCTCCTACATTTGAATGACATCTGATCGTTCTGTTGGAGCTACGCTCAAGCAAATGCCAAAATTAATTCTGTAGAGGGGCTATAGAATTTATTTTGTGATTTCCTCGCTTGATTTTCTGTTTTGATGCATCATTTTCAATTTTCGTAGTTTCTTTGAAAGAATCATTAATTTACGTTTTTCAGAGGCGGTCATGAACGCCTCTCGAGTTGAATGGAAGGAGCGTAGCTCCATCTAGTGGATGCATTGTAGATTGCGCCTTATAATCCAGTGCGTCCAATGTATGAAAAAAATTACAAAATAGGCCATTCATGTGCGCCTCATAATCCAGTGTGCTTTTTAGTGCGGAAAATACGGTATGTCAGGGAGGAGCTAGCTTCGGTTGTTGGTTGAAATTAAGAGTCTTGTGCATGTTACGTAGTCGTACACGTTGCGCTCCAGGTGCATTATTTTCCCAGGTAAAATCAGATATCGATGCGCTCATAATTTGTGGTATTTTTAAACTTTAAAACATTGCTGTAGGCAAAGCCAAACATTTGGGCGCAGGTTGTTCCACCATGTCATTCTTCCTCCAATCATTGTGTTATAGCAGCTCATCATGATTTGAGGACTCTCTCTGTGTGCGTGTGTGTGTGTGTGTGTTCAGGTATCGCTGTGTGAAGTGTGTGAAAGTCCACGTGTGTCAGAGTTGCTTCCTGTCAGAGCGACACACACGGAAACACAAGAGCCACCACCCAGTGATTGAGTTCTGCACACAGGTAAGGAACAACAAGTTGAGAGGCGGCGGTGATGATGAAGTGTACGGAGGAATTAGTGAAAGAAGTTGGTTGACTAAAACAAACCCGTCTCCACCTCAGCCCACCTGGCGAGAGTCTTTCTCTTCAATTGTGCACCGTGCTCGTCACTTCCTGTTACCACGGCGATATACTCAAAGGGGAGCTGACGGGGCGAAAAGTCTAACGAGTGAAGAGGCAAAAGACAGCCATGAGATGTGAGACAGCTTTCACGACGAACCATCCCTCCATTTTTGATACCGATTGACCTGATCACTGTCACGGGTTAGCTGGAGTCGATCCCAGCTGATTAGGGGCAGGTTACACCCTGAACTGATGGAGGGCAATCCTCGATAACCCTTCACATCGATGTGGATAATTTGGCGTATAGAAAATGGATGGATGAAAAGTACAAAATATAAAATGTATAAAATGTTCTAATCTAAGAAGAATTTGTTTCCCAGGGCTCCACCTCTTCGTTTGGCTGCCGCTCCCGAAGAATGCGGGAGCACCGCTTCTGCTGTTGGGGTTTCCCATGATTACTCAATAAAGCCTCGTTCCTCTTCAACGAAAGCCCAACAGACTGATGAGATGCTGCCAGAACAGGTAACCTCGGATGACCTCCCGCTCAAAGGTCTGTCAACAATCTTGAGCCAGGGTCCCCAACCGGGGTCTTCGAGGGCCGCTATCCTGCATGTTTTGGATGTTTCCCTCCGGCAGCACACCTGATTCAAATGATCCAAACCGAAAACCTGCACGGTCGGGGCCCTCGAGGTCTTGGTGACCCCTGCTATGGGCCTTTTCGCCACGATGTCACAAATTCTTCTGGGTACAGCTCAGACGGCGTCCCCAGTAAACAAAGCGCTCTTTTGTCATTTGACCTGCCGAGCAATTGAGAAAACACGCTCAGTGGCTTGAATGAGGATTTTTCGATTTCTTCTCTACTATTGTGGTTTAAATGCCAGGCGAAAGGCGGAGGTTAGGTATTGTCCGGTAAATTGCTTCGAAGCAAAATGGAACACGTGCCGCAGTTTACATTCCAACGGTTAGCAGTAAGTTCATTCAAAAATGTGGTAGGAACGCAGACGTGATTAACAAGTTCACTGAGGGACAAGTACATTGTATCGTCTGCTGCTCAGATGAAAGCCACAGACTTTTTTTTTTTTTTGATGTTGTCATGGATAGCTAACCATTATGTTTTGCCAAATTACTAAGACAAACCAACCAAACATTGCAAAACTAACCATAAGAACATTTCGTTCATAAATGATAGATGAAGACGCGGCTACTAAGTTTTGACATCCTCTCGATTCAATTGTTTACAACTTCTACTGGATTTTTCTTGAATCCACACAGTCATGCAGGTTGTGTGTGTGTGTGTGTGTGTGTGTGTGTGTGTGTGTGTGTGTTATGTTCTAAGTTGGAGGTATCCACTCTGCTGACTGAAGTCAGGGACCTGCACAGAGACAAACGGTAAGGGAAAAAAGAAAAAAAAATTCCAACATTAAGCAGTCATTCAGACGGCAGGATATGCACTCGTCATTACACGATGACACTTTGTTGAAGGCTACTAGAAGAGCAACTGCAGGTGTGGCGTCTGACTGTCCAATCAGAACAGGGTATACTGAAGGAACGCTGCACGGAGATGGAGGTCACCCTGGAAACAGTTCAAGAACACAACATCCGTCTGCAGGCGACACTCATTCAGGTGAACGCGTTGTCACTCAACAAGGAGCCCGAGGATTGGACGGTTCTTGTTTTAGTGCAACAAAAAAAAAAAACAGTCAGTATCTTGCACAAGTGTCAAACTCCGGTCCTCGAGGTTGGGTCATCATAGATGTCGATGCATAGACTCGCCAAGTCATGTCGCTTAAGTCTAAGTCAAGTCGAGTCTCATGAAAAGCAAGACAAACACGAGCCGAATCCCAAGTCTTAAAATTGCCAACTTAAATGTGACACAAGGCAAGTCACGTGTGTCCCGCTTGTGGTCATCAGCTTTCGCCCGTTTCAGTGTTCACTTGTACCCATGAATATTTCCACTCTTCAGACACTAAACAAGCTGGAACGACAACAACAACCTGCCAATGATGTGTCACGAGACCAGAATGAGCTGGAGCACACGGAAAACACAGGGAAAGAAAACATGACACCCTCTTCAGACCTGGAGATGTGCGTGGTTGAAGATATCAATGAAGAATTCATCATGAAGACAAACGATGAGTGGGGTGAGAAAGACAAAAGTCCACCCACAACAATAAACCAGGACATTGCTTGGTTACACGACATCCACGATGAGGAGGCGAATTGTGCAGGTAACAATAATGATGGGAAAACGAAGGTTCATGAAGCACCTGTGATACTTTTTGACACCTCTAGATGGGGCTCTTGGTTTGAATATAAAGTTTAGTGCAATGGAAATGTATGAAAATTCCACTGCATCTTTAAACCAAGAGAGCCCTCTAGAGGAGTCAAAAACATACACAAGTGCTTCACGAAGCTTCACTTGTCCACCACTAGGTAGCAGCCATCGTTGTCAATCGATTGAACAAGAGGATGTCCTAATAAAGGTGGAGGTGGGTATGTCTGATGAACAGGATTCTGGAACTTGTAGTCCGGAAGAGTTGCTGCAGCAGACTGTGGACCGACTAATAAGTGCCCTCGGGACTGACAGGAGGAAGGATAAACAATCAGGTGAGACAGAAGTCTGTTTCTTGACTTTCATTTTTAAATAGCTGTATTGTATAAAGAATGTGAAAACGATAGCTGAGGAGAAGGACAAATATCTTAACTAAACTCAATGTCGGAAGACGACAAAGTTGCCTTGCAAAATCTTACTCGTGTAACGTCTAATATATATTAGCTGTACATCGGTATTTTCTGGTCTCAAATGTACATTCGAACTTTGAGATACGAGAGACATAGTGCATGAGTTTTTCAATATATGAGCTATCGTTCGACAGATTTTTTTTGTTAACCTTGACTGGCGAGGAAAAAAAAAATAGAAGCGCTGTATGGTGGCAGTGAACTGAACTCAATCACACCGTTTAGTTGATGAGAAACAATATTACAAATCATTTGTGGTAAACGTTATATTGGCTAGCTAATTTAAACAGATAATTGGAACTGACTTCAAAAGCAGGACAAAGTGGTCAACTTACCGGCCTTGCGTGGAGCCCCCCCCCCCCCCCCATTCCAATTTAAATGAAATTCTGGTCACCCGTTTCCATTCTCGACTCAGTTGATCAGAAGATCTATTTTACAGCCATGTGACACACGCAGATCGATGCAAACGTGACGTTTTTTTTTTTTTTTTTTTAAGAGTTCATTCATCCATTTACCACAGTAGTAGCGATTGTTTTAACGCTTTCATTCAAGCAACAGCTTGATATTTAAAAAAAAAAATGCTACAAGTAGCTTGAACAAGTTCTCCCGTCACGACAAGCTGTTTGATCGCCGGCATTTTCAGATGAGGCCATTACTGGAACAAAACCATTTACAAATGCATATTTCATCCACAACTGTGTAAAAAGAATCGGTATGCGTAACCTGAGGTACAAATGTGCAACACGAATCTACAATTGCGTGACTGAACTCACAAACGACCAGTGTGACATAAATCTGCATGTGTGTACATTGATTGGTATGTATAAGCAAATGGATGAACGTGTACATAAATCTGTAAGTGTGCGATCTGTAAACACTGGGCGTCTTGATCGGCTATATTCTTACGTGACTTTTGCTACAGTCCCGCCGTACGCAAGTCACGAATGATTGCAAATGCGCGTCTGGAGACTTGGCTCGGTAGCTACAAATTCAGACCACGAGGGGGCGCTCCTACCACTAATACTGTACTGTGTTCCCAATTTAGCTGCAAACAGGCTTCTCTGCATTCCAGAGCTAAATCGCCACGCTTGACTAGATTGCGCAAGTGCGGCTGCTCATGTCTGTGGAAAGGATCATGCAATAACTTTACTCTCAGGTTACTTGATTGACACCCCGAGTCACTGTGCTGAAAAACATGACGATCAAATAAAAATTCACTGTGTAAAAAACAAAAAAAAAAAGTTTTTTATTTTATGAAATATTGGAAAATTAATACAGTAGTTATTTTAGAAAAAGGTTGACATTGTTCAAATAATCATGATGAAATATTTAATTAAAATAACAATTACATATGACAGAATAGAACATGTTTAAAAATATTACGTTTATTTTACAATTGTATGGCCACATTATATATTTGCCTGTTATTTCCCAAAATATCACTTTTTTCAAAATATTTCATTTATTTAATTTTGACACGAATTTTGATCGCCCAGTCAACAAGATTGCAGCCAAATTGGGAATATTAATGGTACTAGCGTCCACTGGCGCTCTGAATGCGTCGCGACGGAGCCACACACAAGTCTTCAGATGTGCATTTGCAAATCGCCGCACGCCCTTGTCAATTGTGTACGCAGGACTGCGGCAAAATTCATGTCGCGACGGAGCCACACACAAGTCTCCAGATGTGCATTTGCAAATCGCCGCACGCCCTTGTTTGTCAATTGTGTACGCAGGACTGCGGCAAAATTCACATGTAGAGTACAGCTATCGTTCCAAATTTGTGAGTTCAGTCACGTGTTTGTAGATTCTTGTTACACAATTGTGACTCCGGTTGCGGATAGGGATACTTCTTCCATTTTATTGAGGCACCTGGGAGCTGTTTTTAAATTGTGAAGAAAAAAAAATGCACAATAAATTTGGTGTCACCCCCATGCATCACATGAAGTCACAAGATGTTTTTTGGTTTGTTTTTCATTTTCTTTGAACAGGCGATAAGAGGTTGGCGCTTATTGAGGCTGCAGACCATGTTGGAGACTCATTACTCTACCTGGTGGACACCTTGAGACAAATCCCCAGCTAAATGAAGAAAGAAACGTTTAAGCCACAGGGGTCAAACTCAAGGCCCGGGGCCAGATCTGGCCCGCCACATCATTTTAGGTGGCCCGCGAAAGCAAATCAAACATGTCAACTTCCATGATGCTTGCTAAAATCTCTACCAAAATGTAAAATTCTCATATGTAGTAAATAAGCGACATATTGTAAGCATTTTTTGTTACCAAACCCCTCATACAGTAACTTCAACAATAGTTGAATAAACCATTATTGACTTTTTAATAAGGTTTCAGTCATAATGGCCCTCCAGGGGAAACGGTTACTAAAACGAGTTTTGACACCCCTGGTTTAAGCCGTCAACAGTGTCAAAGGCAGTTTAGTCTCCAGGACCAATTTCAAGTCGACTCATCGAGCTACTTCTCTCTCTATCCGCCCCCCCCCTCTCATTTTAAAAATACTTTTTTTCTGTTCTGTTGAGTCATGAAAATGAGCGGCCAAAAAGACATGTTTTAAAAATTCCCTTTTTTTATTTATATTTTTTTTATTTTGAAATGGTCCCTAAGTGTTGGCGTTGTAACAACTGTGCTACTTTGGAGTCTTTACACAGCACCTCCTCCTCTGAGACCTTCCTCGCCCGAGGTTTGGCTCTGAAAGGGACAGGGATGCAGAGTCCTTTCGACGGAGTCCACATCTCCTGGGTGGTGGAGGTGTGGTCTGAACTCTCACCCTCCTCTTGGGGGGCCGTGGCTTTTCTTCGCTACCTATTCTTGGCTCCTCAGACCTACTTCGATGCACCAGAGGAGAGGTTTCGTGTTTATGAGTCCGTGCTGAATCTGTGCTGGGAGTGCTTGACGGCTTCTGATTTTTGACCCTGGGAGAATCCGAGCCACCCTCCCCGGACCACCTCTCTGTGTTCAGGTCCGGGCTCAGACTTCGAAACAGCTGACGTACACATGGCGGCAAAGGGTTGGAAGCGGCGGGGCTTTGACTCACCTTGAAACTTTTGGGCGGGTTCTTGATGATGCGATTGGTGCGGTGGTCATAAAAGCGCAGGGGAAATTGTTTGTATTTGACCTTCTGCCTGTGAAAGTCAGGTGGCCGTTGTCTTTTCCTGCTGCGTTTGGAGGTGGGGCTTGTGGCGGGTGTGTGGGCGGTGCCGGGAAAAGTAGGGGAGCAGAGAAGGTAGACCAGAGACGTGCTCGGCTGCAGCGGCGTGATGACGGGTGAGTATGAGGGCGGGAGGCGAGACCACTGTGCCTCAGGAGTCTTTTTCGCTCCCGCCTGATCGCCTGCATGGACGCGAGTGGGCGTGGCCTCTAGGGCTGGTTGGCAGACAGTCGGGACGACCAAACGGACAGTCTGAGTGGCATGACTCACTTTCACCACCTGGAGGGGGGGTGACAACAATTCAGTCATCAAAACTATCAGCGGCGTTGGGAAATAGTTCCAGTTCGAAACTTATTAGTATGACAATTAACGGGGATTTATGCGAAGGACCAGGAATAAACTCGAAAATAGCACTCTTGAATATCATACTTCATGAAAAAAAAAAAGGAATCACAAAATCAAATCTGACTAAAAAGCTTGAAACAGTTGGTGTCATACTTTCACCCTCAATTCAATGCATATCATGCTGCTTTTTGGTCTGTGTGCGCCTTGGCCACTTGGTGGCAATAAAAGACAGCCATGCAGATATATTGGACATGGAGACAATGTCAATTTTTCAGTGGCAGAAATAGTCATCATCAGAGGATAAAGAATATATGTCGGTGAGCCTTGTTCCATTGTCTGTCTACACGTGTTGCTGCATGCTTTGTGTTACAATACCACCACAGAGATGAAAACGAAACTAAGCTAGACGTTAGCTCATGCCTTAGCGCATTTAATATGATGATATTGACACCACCATTAAGGAGTGAATTCAGGACTTCAATCTGATCTGTTTTTGGTTTTTTTTGTACTTCTACCAAGTAGAAGTACAAACATACTCGCACTGAGTATATTTGCCAGCTCTAAATATTTGCCGATGTTTCTGTTGCGCTCACCTGACACCTGGAGGCCATTCTGAAGTCCCGCCTTCTTGGAACTTCTTCCTCATCATGGTCGAGCAAAGGTAGAAGACCCATGTCCGACTCCGCCGCTGTCTGATCGGGTCCGTTCACGTTTTTGCTTCTGGTGCCGCACCTTGTAGGTAAGAAACCATCAAAATGAGTGAGCCATTAAATATTTAAGGTGAAGGCATTCACGCTGAGGTAAAAACATTCATCTGTCCACATGAAGAGACAGAAAACAATTCACGCTCGCCCTTACGGACAATTTAGAGCAGGAGTGTCCAAACCTGGTCCTCGAGGGTTGCTCGCTGCCCTGCCTGTTTTAAATGTCCCGCCTCCAACACACCTGATTTTAAAAAATCTGCATCGTTATCAGGCTTCTTCAGAGCTGATGGTTTGAATCCGACGTGTTGGAGGAGGGAGATGTGTCAAACCTGCGTGAGAGCGGCCCCCGAGGACCAAAGCTGGACATGCCTGTTTTAGAGTCTTCAATTACCCGAAGATGCACGTTTTTGGAATACGGGAAGCAAAGTTAAATACGGTACGGTAAATGAACGCGTTTTAAATTGAGAAGTTTCATGTCGTGGAATTTTCAAAGGTGCGACTAAATATTTATATGACCTGGCGAGGGATTCACTGTCGAAGTAGCAGACAAAACGACCTTGTCTGAACTGTCGGACCAGGTCATCAACCTTCTTCTCATCTTCCTCTTCGATCTGGGACCAAGTCTTCCCTTTGAAGGACTCCGGCACTTCTCTCGGTTCCGTCCTGCATACCCCGTGTTGGACCGGTCGCCGTTTGCTGTGGAGGACCGATTCCAGCTGATGGGAGTACACCTGGTCTGTCAAATCCACCCGAACGTCAGTCAGATGGCTGAAATCCCTCAACGGCGTCTGTACCGGCGGGACACATGAATCCACCTGGAAACACATTCCTTATCTTCAAAAGAAGACTTTTTTTTTCCCCCACAATGTAAAAAGTGCTGCTAGGTGCCTTGATAAAAGGTTCATTACATTTGTCTGTTAGAATACACACGTGCGATGCGATGACGTCGATGAGACTAACGGTGATGTCCCAATTGGCCAACTTCAAAACAGCTCGCCAGCGGACAACACATCAAGACAGCGAACAAACACGATGATGGGAGGAAAGGATTCGCTATTTGTACGGGAGGTAAGCTGCTACGACAAGGCTTTAAAACATGTGAGGCGGGCTCGCACCCCTCCCCCGAGCTCTTCCTTCTGCGCTCACCTGTCCGGGGGAGTCCCAGTCACTCTGTGTTTGAAGCGAGCGAGGCAGACTGACGTGAAAGCTGTCTGTCTCCTCGAGCGGAAAGGAAGTCAAACTGTCGCCATGGCAACATGTTTGGATAACCTGGAGGCCGACACAAATCAAAAGCATTTGCATCAACAAAGAAATTTGGGGGAAGAGGAAAAGAAGAGTTGAATAAAGAGTGAATTTTTCAAAACATCACAGGATATGTCTTGTTTGGGAATTTACAATCTGTAGTTTATCTTTTAGCATGACCCTCATAAAAAATAAATAAAACACATTTTTACTTGAGTACCCTGATATTTTGATTTACAAGCGCTCCAACTTATGAGTAGTTCACAGAGTTACATGGCATTGCTTGGTTGATTTGATTTTTTTTGCTTTGTGCTGCATGCTAAAGTTCAAGGTATGATTGAGCTATGGATATGATATGTATGATTGAGGAAAAAAAAAAAAAAAGCAAGTAAGTAGGGCCGGACCGGTATGGATATTTTTAGGCTGATGCAGATTCCGATATCCTTCAGCATTTGTTTAACTTTACAACAGGGAATGAAATCGGTCACATTTTTGCCAATTTCTTTTTGACGGGAGGGTGGAAGCGTCTGAATGTATGATCTTGAACTGATGTTATAATGTCTTCATGTGTAATAATAATCATAAAATCTGCAAAAATTGGCACAGAAAAGGCAGATTTTATTTCCGATTTAACAAAGGGCAACTACTGCTGATTCATTTGTCACATACGGTCAATGTACTGTAATGGGCCTACTGATGAACCATCTATTTTAAGATAACCTTTATTTGTCCCACACTGGGGAAATTTGCAGTCTACAGCAGAAAAATTGGGGGGGGGGGGGTTGCATGGTTGTCTGCTTTTGACACAACAAAATGTTTATATCGATGTATGAATATGATTCCTTTTCATTAAATTACGCTCAACTGCGAATTTGATACACAATGAACCCAGAACGGTATATTATTGACCTTTTGTAAATTTTGGGGGCGGAACCTATCCTAAGTTATTAGTTATTTTTTAAAAAAGTCACTTATTATTGAGCTCAGCCCAGGGCCATGTCTATCACAAAAGTATTTCTTTGGTGCCATCTTGTGGCATTCAAATAAATGGCTTCATTTCATTGACTCAGGCCATAGCCCACCCATCCCCACACCCATTTTCTGAACTACTTTATCCTCACAAGGGTCGCGGGGGGTGCTGGAGCCTATCCCAGCCGTCTTTGGGCAGTAGGCGGGGGAGACCCTAAACCGGTTGCGAGCCCATCGCAGGGCACACAGACAGAGACGAACAACCATCCGTGCTCCCACTCACACCTCGGGACAATTTAGAGTGCTCAATCAGCCTGCCATGCATGTTTTTGGAATGTGAGGGAAAACTGGAGTACCCGGAGAAAACCCACGCAGGCCCGGGGGAGAACATGCAAACTCCACACAGGAAGGCCGGAGCCGGGATCGAACCCATGACCCCTGTACTGTGAGGTCAACGCGCTAACCACTGGCTCCCAGGCCATAGCCTTGTCTAATAATATATATATATTTTTAAAAAGGAATCGTAAGGACTCACTGTATTTCCAAATTCCCCATCTTAACCTCACAATTGCAATTTCTCGGAGACTTTCCGAAAAATGAAGAAACACTTTCCACCCTTTGCAACCCTACTGCCAAGAGAAAGCGTTTGGACCAACCTCCTCAATAGTTTGGTCCACGAGGTCACCGCGCAGCGTGCCAAAGGCCTCCTCTTTGAAAGCCGCCCACCGCTCCTTCCGCCAGCTGTGCCAAGGCTGCGGCACAGAGTGAGGCAAGGGGCACGCGTCTGCGTGTGGCGCCTCGGATGAAGGGACGGGCGTCGGGGGCTTGCTGGTTTTCCTCCTGTCAATCTTCCTGTGTGCCTTCCCGTGCGCAGGAAGAGGAGCCCGATGTTTAGGCACAGTTGTATGCCTTGAGTCGATGGTCCTTGCCTCCTCTTGCTCTTTTCCATGAGTCGAAGGCCTCTCCTGACCCGCCCCCTCCGATAGTCTCTTCTCCAATTGACAACAAGGACCACCGGCATCTTCTTCCTGATTCGTCGACACGTTGTTCGAGCTGGGCAGGCGCTCGCGCGTACCCAACGACAAGTCGTCGTCACCAGAGAAACAGACTTCATCGAGCTCCTCCCTTGGCATAAGCGGAGCGCAGATGGACGGGAGGTCCGCGTGAGACGGTCTAGTGACACAGACATACGGAACAATCCGTCACCTGAACAAGCTGAAAAACGAAATGTGCTTCGTCAATGGCGGTGAATCAACTACTCATAAAGATTTCAACTTTCTTTATCCTTTTTTGTTTCGGGTATCATTCTGACAGGTGGGGACACTCAGCTTAATGCTTTGCAGTTTTTGGGAGCTTTTTTCCCCCCTGCCTGTGGCTCGCCAACTGACAGTGAAACAGCGCTGCAAAATAGCCACTTGGCAAGATGTTTGTTTTTTTTGGTGCCCTTCTGCAGTTCAGCACCAGTTGAAGAAGCTTTATGACCATTAATTAGATTGTCCAATGTGGAATACAATTTGCACTCTTCTTGGAAAGTTCCTCTCAACAAGATCTGTTCTTAACCAACGATGCCCAACACCAATGAAAACACCCCCCCCACCCCCCGCCACCCCTACAGCAGGCATCCAGCAAATGTCTCTCCACAACTGCACATGAAGAAAAATTCGATCCAACAGATGCTCGGGAGAGTACGAAAGCTTTTACATGTACCAACTTCATAAAGTCTTAAAATAACCTGAAGAAGGAGATTTTTGGTTTCCCGCGTATTGTGGATTTTGTTACCTGGGGTCATTGTAGCAGTGTGGGTGGTGCAACAGGACATCCTGCAGGAATCGCTCCAGCAGAGTTCCTTTGGCTTGGCTGCTGTCAGCAAAGGAACAAGTGGAATCGGCGGAGCCCCTGGAGGACTCTCGGACACAATCCAGGTGTCTGAGACTGGCCAGGTGCTGAATTTCAGAATCAGAATTTTATAGGCATAATCATCCAAGCAGATTTAAAATGTTTCATGCAGAGTCCACAATATTAAAAAACAAACAAATTAATTAGAAACACGCTGTCAGACACATATCACTTCACACATTAAGACTCCGGAAGCAGAGAAGGCGGCTTAAAATCAGCATTCGAGCTATTGAACCTGTGCAGCCTTGGACAAATGACATTGAAGGGTTTGTTTACTCGTGGTCCAAATTGAAGCTATCGTCACCCGCAAGTAGGTGTGAGTTCGTGGTGATGAAGGTCCACAAACAAATAAACAAAACAGTACCCCCCCCCACCCCCGCTATAACCCTCAGTGTCTTTGAATTGCCCAGCGCAACACAGGCTACATGAAAAAGATCTCACATCACCTGATCGAGGTCGTTGTAGACGACTCTGCAGTAAGTGCAGTAACCTGGTCTGCATCTGGATGGTCCTGGCTGAGACTCCGCCCACATCCTGTGATGCAAGTTCAGTGTAGTTAGTTTGGCATCATTTGATACAATTTGCTCTTCTTTTCTTTACTCTGCAAGATATTTCCAATGTGACAGACAACATCTCACGGAGACAGAAAGACAAACTGTTAATTGTTGTCATACTAATTCTTAGGATTTTGATTTTTTTTTAACAGTTAAAAAAGTGGTTCAAAGCCTTTTCTGACCTTTCCATTTTGTCCCCAATTCGCCTTCTAGCAAGGATGATGTTTTGCTATTTTTTTTTGTGTATTGTCATCGAGTACAGTGGTACCTCAACTGACAAATTTAGTGGGTTTCGAGACCCCCGTTTGTCACCTGAGACGCTTGTAAATTAAGATAAATTCTCCCATTGAAATGCATATATACATATATGCACACCGCTGTATCTTGTTTTAAAAAAATGCAATCGCTGCATGACTGAAAATAAATACAACATAAAAATGACTTAAAATACACTTCAATGTAAAGAAATAACACACGAAACAAAGTGAAGTGAGGAGGGGAGGACAATAGCGCCTGTATTGAAAAAGTCTTCTTCCAAAATCGCAAAACAATTTTATTCAATTGTTCAGATTTTTTTTTTGTGTCTATTTTATAATTGTCACGTGTCAACACTGGTAGAAATCACTCGGTTTGGCGGTGTTTGTGTGCGTCTAAGCACAAGTTCTTAGATCAAAGGCAACAGGGATTGGATGAGCCCTAAATTGGGGTCCGCAAAATAATTTGTGTACTTTCGGCTACCCGCCGTCGTCAAATGACATGTAGCGGTTGCTTACAAAGAGGACGCTTTAACTTTTATCTGAAAACTATTCCGTCATAAACGTTCAGGTTGAGGTGTTCAAAACAATTCTGGTATTTAGGATGAAAATGATAAGCGCGTTTAATTTGCATGGGAATTTTCAAGTGTTGGGAGGTCTTGATAAAGCCCCGCTCCTCAGGGGTCACCGGACGGAAAAAGTTGGCAAAGCTCTGGACTACACGACGGCAGTTGGACAGCAGACGACAGCCCGACACTCAGTGAGGTACAACATATACCAAGTATCGCTACCGTCGCGTCTCTTTGGCAACTCTGAACTGGCTTCGGACCCGCGTTAGCCGGGGATAATCACGTGACGCAGTTACGTCCGTGTTGCGCCTTTTAAATCCATCGCTTGCCACAGCTGCGGTGTAATAAGCAAAGCTCATAAAAGGGCATGGCCCGTGACAGATAACAGCTTTTTATTTACCTGTTTTACTTTCGGACGGAAGGAAATCATCTTCCGCCGCGCGCTTTTGGCTTGCGTGTCAGTTTCCGCTCTGCTTCTTCTTCTGCGGATTGCCCCTCCATTGCGTTTGTGTTTGACGCCACCTTTAGGCCAAGCGCAGAAATATACCTCAACCACGAAACCTAAAATTGTCCTATTTGAGGTGATGTTATTTTAGAAATTCTATCTTGAAGCCATTCCACCATGAAAATTACAAATTTAAGTCTTTCATTTGGATCAGATTTTTTTTTAAATAAAATCCCACCATCACCTATTCCAATGTAATTTATATCCCAAAACTTGGGATGCATGCGGGTAGATCAAGTGTAAAGTCATGACCAAAAAAAAAAAATTAAATCAGAAACATGAAATTCACCCAAGTGCTTTATTTTTTTTTTCTTCTCAGATTTTGTTAAAAGCAGCAACGTCCATTGACTGGACAAAATCCTCAAAAGCCGTGATGTGCTCCTCCAGAATGTCAGTGCCCACCTTAAGCAAAGAACAATAAAACTCAAGTCAGATAACTGAATCAAGATTCTTTGATACAAATCTGAGAGAGGCATGCAAAACAGTTCTCAGTACCTCCCCGCCCCCAGATAAATAATAACGCACCTAGAAATACAACCGGCGCCTCGTTTTTGGTTAAGGCGTGGTCTCGCCCACTATTGTATTTTAATGTTTGTTATTAGGGATGTATTTGGAGAGTCAAATATATTTTTTAAGTGGTACTTGGTGCAAGAAGTTTGAGAATCACTGGCCTCGAACATAAGGGAGGCAACGCTTAATATAGATATGATTGACATCCGCGTCATCACAGCCCAAACCTCACCTTGTCATCTTCGACCACACAGTTGATCTGCAGCTTTTTGATGCCATATCCCACCGGTACTAGTTTTGCTGCGAGAGAACAAAAATATTAAAATTCCGGATTCAATTCAAAACGTACAAGCTAACTAAACTCCACCAATTGTATCAGATCGGTGAAGTGGCATCACAATGTTCAGACGAAAGATGGTGAGTTACGATCATCATCAAGTGGAGAGCTCCCTGAAATCAGCATCCGCTGTTGTTGCTACGACATTTCACTTCTAACGTCACTTGCTCACATTGTCCCCAGACGAGTCCATCCATCTGAATACTGCGGACGCACTCCTCCAACTTGGCCATGTCCGTCTCGTCGTCCCACGGTTTGACATCCAAAAGAATAGACGATTTGGCAATGAGGGTAGGTTCTGAGGAGAAGGAGGGGAGGGACGTTACCGCCACAAACAAATTAACAGCCGTACCAACGAGGCCACGCCTTGGACTCGGTCAGGTAAGTAGAGCGTACATCACACGTCAGCCGAAAGATGGTGATTGATAATCATCAGCGAGAGTCCAAATCGAACATCCTCAGCGCTATTGGTGCAGGCTGATGATGTGCAAAAAACAAGACAAAAAAAAATAAAGATCACTCACTGTTTGCTTTCCTGGCAGCGTACGCTGCCACACGCTCCTCCTTTAGCCTTGCAGCCTCGGCATCCTCCTACGACACAACACATGATAAATTAGCATGAACGCCACCTTGAAAATACAGTGCTATCTTGCCGTTCTCTCATATTCTTTGCATTCTATGAAATCATCGTATTGGACGTGTTTATGAAGTGCAATAGAATTGTGTTTTTTAGTAGGGGGGGAAGTTACAAAAATTTAATTTTTTTTAAGCGCACTGTACTGATTCATGCCATGTCCATTTGAGATATATTTTGTGCTACAAGCATTGTCACAGAACAAATTAAATGCGCAAGTTAATGCATTGTTGTATAACCTCTTTGGATGTACGAGTCATAACTTCGGGATCCAGACCAAGTTTTTACTAGTAAACCTGAAATGACTTTTAAAGGACGCACACTGCATGTAGACATGCAAAGTAAATATTCACTCCACTAATTTTCACCATGATATTGTGAAATGGTCTGAAGAGTGGATGAAAAGTTTGTAGACAAAAAAAATAATAAAAATTGGCATGAGCAGAGCATCTTAAATTTTAGGAGCAAAATGCTACCATTTGGGGCCAGTCCGCAGTACTGTATTTGCGTCCTCACCTCATCGTCAGAGCCAAACAGATCAACCTCATCGTCGTCGTCGTCATCAGCAGCTGCCTTTTGGACCACTGTTGTGGTGGAGTCACCCACACCTGCTGGGCCATACTGACCCAAAGGTTTCTTCACACCTGGAAGACTGACAAAACAGGTGGTTGGTTTCAGTCCCAAAAGAGCTTGCGTCTGTCACCACATCAAAGGTACACACCTGTTCTTCTGGCTCTGATAAGACTTGATATGGTTGAACCAACGGAGGGCATGGCAAAGTTCTGCTGGGGGTGGGGTTGCGATTGCCTCAAAAACAGCAACATCTGCCTGGGAAGGCACATGCCTAAGAATAAAGATGAGGTTAGTCCTCTCAGACAAGGCATGAAAAAAGCAAAGTGTTTTCTCAAACTTTTTTTTTTTTTTTACAATAAACAATGTTAGTTAATGAGTTATATTTGTTTGCACTAAGCTGAGAAAAGCAATAGTATGGAAGTGCTTATTCATACTTTCTGTCTAGTCTTGACACAAAGGAAATATTAACTATGTATATTTTTCCCACCTCCAGATGTGGGTCCTCTGGGCTCTATGTCGGCCAGTTGTGTCCACAGACATCAGTTTCCAAACTTAGCGACAAAAATATATCAATAGTATACCATTTTGACGAAATTGTAACTTCTGGTTTTATTATGGCCACTTTCAACCAAATGAACCCCAAGAAAACTAAAGATTTGAATTCCTTTTTATTTATTGTACCAAATCATACAATTTGGGTAAAACGTGTTCCATTCTAAACACCTGACAATTTCACTTTTGCTTTCGACCACTTTACACCACTTATCAATTTTGGACAATTTAATGCAATATGCATTGCTTAGTTTCCTAAAGACTCAGAAGTTGGCTTAGTGAACTCCAATGGAGTTATTGCTTATTTATTCTTCTAAATGAGTCCACCATATTAAACTGTGCATAAGGTAAAGGTGGCTTACAATAATACATGTACATTTCAGGAATAACACCAGTGTTGTTTGTGATGAAGACTTACTACGGAGTCAGCAGCTTAATGTCGGGCACTTCGGGGTACTTTGTGAGCCAAGTATTTGCGTTTATCAAATTAAATGAGGACCACTTGTATGGTAGGTGTGCCCAGTGAAAATCAGATTCAAGAAACTTTGATTTAACCCAGAGTGAACGTACTAAAGTAATCAGCAATATGGGCTTATTATATCGAAAGCACGTGAATCTTGCAAAGCACCTGTGAATACTGTATTCCAAAAGGAATATAACGCCGGTGAAAGATTTCGTTTTGCCTTCACGTCCAAACTTTGGTGACACGCCATACAAACGGCATTCGTCACTAGCTAGCTGTTAGCCAGCATGCGGCTCATAGCAGCAAGCATCTCAGTTGGTCTCCAAACTGCCACGTGCGCAAACTCAACGCACTGACCGTAACGATAAGCGTTGATACAATAAGTCTGCCCAGCTAGCTAACGACACCAGACTGCACTTCCCCGTTAGGTTATTATTCACATCGTTCCGCTTGTAAATGCTACTCGTTAGCCACGCGTAGCCAAAATGGCGCCGCCGGTAACAAGGAGCACCACTAAAATTCCTGTGACCTACATCCTTGTTCTTAACCGGATTTGTACGTATAATGCCGCAGCTGCACTGACCCTTCTATGTAGCTGCGATCAGCAAGGAAATCATTCAGCACTTTGAGACCGGAGGGTGCTTTCAGATCACCGAAACCCATGATGACAACGGTTTGCTACTTGGGGAGGAAGAAGGGCCGATGTGGCAGCAAACCGCCATTTTATAGCCGGGAAGTGGCTCCTCCTCCTCATCCAACACCAACGCCTCCGACTCCTCCCAACTGCATAATTTGGGATCATCCGATGCCAAAGCAATACAGAGCCAACAATTGCTGAATCTCAATGAATTTTTATGGCCTTTGAGTGTTTTTGTCACTATTTATCAGTTAAAAGCCAGGACATAATTCTAGTCAAAATCTATTTGTAAATAGAAGATAATATTTCCCCCATACGTTGTGAATGTCTGGATCCGCCCCCCTGAAATAAACAAAGTGTACAACGTTATGATCGGAAAACAATTAACAAATAAGTTGTCCAATTCAGTATTAGTTAAAAACAAACAAACATTGTAAAACATTTAATAAACCAAACAATATCAGGACGTAAATTTTTCCCCCGTATTCAAGTTAAAAAAAAGAAGCCACCCTCTCAGGTTACTTAATAAGGCCGGTTGGATAGAATGGGTCAGCAGAAACGTGAGCATTAACAACAGATTCAGAGAGGCAGGGTCGCCCCTATCGCTGGCCAGATTATTAAAACCACCCAGCTTCTGGTGTTCAAAAATTTGTCTCTGGAATCTAAAGAAACACATACAAGTAGGGGAAGGTGAACTTTTTGGGCTTCTTCAAATCTATTTTTTTCTCTTGGGAACTTTCTTTAGCGGAAAAGTTGTTTGAATTATAAAAATTCTGAGGAAAAGTGCCTCCAGTGCGCTCCTGAGCGACCTTGTTGAAAGGATGTTACTCATAACTGTTTCCACTATTAATATTTAAAGCAACGGGCCACTTACAAAGTTCAGCTGCTGCAGAGTACAGAAGCAAAAGAAAAGAAAATGGCCACAGTATCGATAAAAAGCGATGAATTGCGATTAGGTTACCATTATTTTATCACTATCTTTATTTCTACTCAATTACAGCGTGTAATTACCTTTGCCACCTCTGGTTTTAATTTTGCTACAATATACTGTATTATCAAGGGTTCTGGAGGTTTCTTTGTAGGCCCACAGTAACAAGAACATGTTTACTTTTGTGCTGCTTGCATAAAGAACATGCCGTCAAACCAGTTTGTGATGTCATGTGTTTCTTCCTTGGTTGATTCATTTATTTAGCAAGAAGCAGACAAGATTCTGAAGTTTAAGGGACAAAGAGCAGAAGAGGATTTATGGGTCTCATTCAGTCATCTAAACGTTCACAGGTAAAATTGATTTGGCATGTTCACACATAACCGGATAACACACACATTGGCTTAACATGTTGAACCAACACCGACATCCACCTTTAAGCCGGTTGAAAAAAAAAAAAAAAAAGGGCGCCACTACCTCACCGTTTAAATACACGAACGGAACAAACGTTAACAAACAATCCGATTGTTTGGATCCAAAGCGAATTTCAGCTGTCATTTGCACATTATTAGCTTTTGTAAACGTAAATAACTTTCATGTTGTTCATGTTGTTGGAATGTTCAGATGAACTCAAAAGGCTTTACGGGGATTTCGAGGTCAAACTTTAAAATAAAATGAGATTCCATTCTTCCATAGCAAACAAACTAACAAACTGGTTCGCATTAGTCGTCAGCTCTGATCGCATCTGTCGCCCACTTCGGAATATTTTTCAACAATGAGCGGCAGGATACTTCTGAGTGGCAGCATCGGGTTATAAAGCGCACTGCCGGCTTTTGAGAAAATGGAACGCTTTTGGGTGCGCCTTATAATGTGGAAAATACGGTACGTGTGACGTCATGGTGAGACGGTCTATTACACAGGTGTCAAAGTCAAGGCCCGGGGGCCAGATCCGGCCCCCCATGTCATTTTATGTGGCCCGAGGGAGCAAATCATGTGTGTCAACTATCATGATTCTTGCTGAAATCTGTACCGAAATGTCAAATTGTCAATGATAATAAATAATGTTGAGATTTTGCACCGGCCCTCCGAGGGAAGCCGTAACTGCGACGTGGCCCGTGACAAAAAATGAGTTTGACACCCCTGGTCTATTAGTTTTAGAGGTAAAATGCTCAGCTAAAGTGCATGTCCAACATGGATTCAGGTCATCCTGATGGGTTTGGACTCTGCGGGAAAGACCACTTTGCTGACTCGACTCCTGACCGGACAGGTGAGGCTGTGGCCACTTTTACCTTGTGCTTTGTCTGTGCGCGCAACTGTGATCTGATTGTGACCTGACTGACAGGTGATGATGGACACGTCACCAACCGTCGGATTCAATGTCGGATCGTTCGATGTGGACAAGAGGACGTCTCTGACAGTTTGGGATGTGGGAGGCCAAAAAAGCATGAGGCCCAACTGGAGGTAATTTAAGGCTTTGCTTTTGTTTGCAACTTCCTCTTTCTCTTCTTTGTCATCTTTTTTTAGGTTCTACCTGGACGAATGCAAGGCGCTGGTCTTTATGGTTGACAGCAGCGATCCCAGTCGGATGCCCGAGGCCCAGAAGGCATTGAAGAAGGTGTTGAGTGAAGAAAGGTTACGAGATATTCCGTTGATGGTGCTCGCTAACAAGGTGGACCAGCCTGGCGCCATGACTGTACAAGAGGTACAGAAAAAGAAAATCTCTATATACTCGGGAGCCTGTAATCTTGAACGTAGGACCTTAAATTCATTTGAATTTTTCTAAGAAGCCAACTAATTAGAAAATGTGACTCCAAAGTAAAGTACATGACAGTAATCCAGCCGGGATGTGACGAAGGCATGAATGATTCTTTCAAATTGCTCTTGAGAAAAGAGGTTTTATTTTGCCAGCTGCCTAAGAAGAAAGAAGCTGGATGCAGGACATCATGAGTTACAGTTTGTCATTCTTACTACTCATCCTTTTTTTTTTCCCTCTACCCCTTCTGCACCCTGCCTTCTTTCCTTGACACCCACTCGAAATCAGATCTCCAACCAACTGGGACTGTCCAACTATCCGCACCTGCGATGGGAGATTCAAGCATGCAGCGCGCTGAAAGGAATCGGTCTGCGTCAGGCCTTTACGTCCGTCGCCAAGCTCATCAAGAAGAACTAACTTGAAGGCGTGAGGAATAAGAGGAGGAGAATACGTGAAGAATGTGAAGAAGTGTGATAGAAAAACAACAGTTGTGTATTCGACTAGCATTCTTTCTTTCATCAAACCAGACACAGGACATTGTGTGACAAACTTTTATTTATCTATGTTTGTGAGGTACAATGAACAGAGGGCATATTCTTTGGTTGTAGAAGTTCTTTTTACAAAAAAGAAAACAATTATGTCGTGTTGTATTTGTGAAAGCCATCAGAGCCAGTCCGTTCTATACATTTTCAAACTGGTTGATCATAGTTGAGTTGACTTTTGCGTAGTTCGCCAGCAGCTACGTTGCGAAGCCATTGAGCAGTTAGCATGTGAAGCTAAAACAACAAACACTGTTATATTTCTTGATAAACGATTTCTTGCCAGATTGAGTTTTGCGCGGTTAGGCAAAGGCAACATATTGCTAAGCCATTGAACAGTTAGCATGCGAAGCTAAAAACAACAAACACGCTTACATTTGTTGATAAATGCTTTTCTTGCTAGATAAACATGGAATGTGCTCATATTAAGTTTGGCTAAATGTTTTGCCGTCCAAAAATCAAAACCTCTCTACTTCTGGGTGACCATACTTCAGTCAACAGCACATGAATATTTCCCAAACAAGGTCTGCTCCAGTGTTTTTGCGCTCAATTCTCCTCTGTTCACCAACTCAGACAGATAGCGTGTTTGTGCTCGTGCTTTTCAGTGTACGAAATGCGTTCACAATAAATCATCTCTAAAACGTGGTCTTGCTCTTATTCCTGGAGTGACATCGAAGACTCCTCCTTGTTCTCCTGGTCCTGAGGCAGCGTGGTGGACAAAGCGTAGTCCTCACTCACCCCTTCAGATATTCCGCTGACCTCCGCACATGGTTGCTCCTTCTCCTGGTGCTCCGGCGGGGCCAGCTCATTGTGGATCTCCGTGAAGGTGACCTCCTGCTCGTCACTGCCCAGCGGGGAGAGCTGGATGTGGTCCTCCGGGGCGGGGCTCTCTTCGATCTGGACAGGATGTTCTTCGGGAGGCTGGGAGGCTGAGTTGCTGCGAGGCTGCAAACACATGCGGGTTAGAGGTCACGCAGACAGACGAGAAAGTCATTATCACTTAGAGGTCATACCTTCTTGATGCCAAAGGTGACGGGGGAAACCTTGAGACTGGACGTTTTCTGTTTGATTTTCTCTCGTTGTTCAGCGGACACAATTTTTGTTCCGATCTTGGTCATCTTTTTTTCGATGTTTTGGCGGGAGAAAGCCTTCTTCAGACTGTCAACCTTCCGAGAGAGTTGGAATGCAAATTATCGTTGTTTGCCAAGTATGTTAAAACACAAAAGGAATTTGTTTCTGGAAGTTGGAGCCATTGTAATACTACAGCAAAAAAAGCCATGGTGACAAAATTTACGGTAGACTCAGAACAAAACTCAAGCACGACAACTAATTGTTGGACTGAGAGCATAAGTGCCCAAGTCATTTTTAAACATCGTATTGTGTGGCTTACCTTCTTCAGACTGGAGAGTTTCAGTTTCTCAGCTTTGGACTTCTCCATGTTCTCCAGGTCTTGAGGCCACATCTCCTCTTCCAGATCTGCCTCCAGGCCCACGTCCTCATCGGATGAGAGGTTGATGTTTTGGAGCACGCCCTCTGAGGGCTGATTGTCTTCGACAACACCTGATTCGTCGCCCTCTTCCAGAATTTCATCACGAGGGAACGGCGGTGGATCCTTCACAAAGACAGTGGAGGGGATCTCGTTCTCCTCCTTCAAAGGACAACCGGACCTTAGTTAGCCAAAAACAAACTGAACATCCTGTCATTCCGATCCTAGTTCAGACTAATCGCAGAAGACCTGATCAATACTTTGATACGTCTGACGTTGACACATTTTTCGTCATCTTTCAGCTGACTTTTGGCTCTCATTTGCGAGCGCTAACTTAAGATATGCACACTCTAAGGTAGCAGCAAACTCAACTAAGCGGTCTGGCATAGAGTAAACAATTCTTTTAAAAAAATGAGGCTGCAAACTGTTTAATGACATGCCCAGTGGAAGTTTACTGTCAATCTAAACATAAAGCAAAGAGAATTACTCATTGTGTATTGATAACAACGAAGCAACTTTGCACCCAATAACTTAATCGTAACACATAATGTAAAACGCCGTGGACAGGCTAACTGTTAGCATTGATAGTTCCCGTGTTATAATCGTGTAGTGTAAGGCTTACAGTGTAAGCAATGGATATTTGAACACTAACAGTGGAGCAAAACATGTTGACAGAGTATGAAATATTCACAGGTAAATATTCTTTATCCTCTGCAAAAAATGACTAATACTAAAAAAAATACAAGTTGTGGAAAAGTTGTGTGTGAATGCTGAAGTGCTGAATGCTAAAATATGGAATTACGTGGAATGATGCGGAATGATAATGATGTATAGGAAATATAGGAATATATATTATAGGAAATATAATTTGAAATTCATTTGTTTTGACTTACAAACATGGTCACGGAATGAATGAAATTCATATCTCAAGGCACGACTGTACTGAATTTACACATATGCGCACGCTAACACATGGCCATAAGGAATTTGGGGAACGTTGCGCATTGGCGAGAGAAGCCAGCATCATGGTTCTCTGTGATCTCACCAACCATAAAAGGACTTTAGAGTGGATCACATGACCTCTTGTTCCATCAAAAGGGTTGAGAGACCAAAAGAATTCCGGCTCACCGACCTGAAAGATGAGTACTTTAAAGTTGTTTCTGTTGATGAGATGGGCATGGTTGGCCTCCAGTTTCTTCACCTGCGTGCCCTGGCGCTCCATCCTTTCTCGTACCTAAAACACAATCTCATTTCATCCCAGAGAACGCCGGCATTTGAAGCGGCGACATGGTTGATTTCCGGTTACCTCCTTCATGGTGACGGAAAGCTTGCGGCTCTTGTCCAGCAGTTTGCTGACGGTGTTGGAGGTGTGACTGTGACTCTTGGAGAGTTTGATCATATCCGCCTGGATCCCCCTGACCACGCCCTCCATCTCCACTTGGTGCCCCTGAAAAACGCAAAAAGGACCTTTCAGAGACCACATGCCTGCTGATCGCTGTGACCACGCCCTTCTCAGATTTAACCGAATGTTTCCAGAAGAAAAAAACTGCGACTGAAATCGGAGGTTTGCAGGGAAAAGGGCGGTCGTGTCTTTGGGCCAGAGGACCAACAGTTCAAAACCTGACTACTTTTGAGCAAGAATTTGACCGACAGCATCTCTTCGCTTAACTTTTGGGTCACACGCTTTCTGTGAAAATTCCTTACATGAGTCCATTTTTTAAAAAGAATCCCTTTCTCAGATTCTTGAAGTCTTTTCACTTTTCAGATTAAATGGGGGGAAAAAAGAGGACTCAAGCTGGTGGTCATGTGAAGTTTATATTGCTTTGAGTTGAAAAGAAGTTTGATAGCTGGAATTGGACTGGCTCTGGAGCTTTTGCAAATTAATACCGGAGGGAATGTAGTCCAATAAAGTTACAAATATGCAGGACTTGCTTGATTAAGTTGAGTCAAGTTGTTTGAAATGAACTCTCAGCGTTTAACTTGAACAGGAAAAACATGTCCTTCTTTGCACAGTGCGACGTGAAATGTTTTACGTCAAACGTTGCTGCTCTTATTGTTTTTAAAGTTGAGAGGACCCGGACCTTTTAAGTCCTTGTAAAGTTGGGACCAAAACGCATTTTTGCTGAAGTAAAAGTCTGAAGTAAACTGTCACACGGGTTGAGCACGGCCCCACCCTTCGCTCACCTCCATCTTGTGCTGGTTTTCCTGCACGGCGTCCAGCATGTTGACCAGTTTGTCCAGCAAAGTGAGGACCGTGATGGCGTTGACGGGGCCTTCGCCCATTTTCTCTCGGTCCAACCCAAACAGGCCCGCTAAAGAATTTTCCTGGTTCTCTGGGTTCTCTTGTTCTTTGAGCTGGTCCTCCGACTCGTGGACCTGAGGAGGGACTAGCAGGTCCTGGTTCTGGTGGGTGTCTGTGGTCACCATGTTCTCGCCGGTCTGAGCGCCGTCCTCACTCATCAGAGACAGCAGTTGGTCAGAAAGTTCTGCGGGCTGAAAAACACTGCAAACTGTGTGTGTATGTGTGTGCGTGTGTGTGCGCGCTGAGCTCTGATTGGTTGGCACTTGGAAAAACATTCCGCCTAACTTCCCTGTAGGGAAGTGCACACCCTTAACTCTTTTAGTGCCAGAACAGAGCCGCACTTGTGCTTGTTCTGCAGCTTGACACAAATTCCGCAGACAAGACAAAGGTGAAAACAAGCTGGAGTCAGTCAAACTGTCCAATGGGACAAGGAAAAGTGTAGCAGAAAATGGTACAACACAAAGACTAAAGTATTCGGGTACCCAATTGTGGACGATTTATTTCACGTGCAATTTACATACAAGTGTCTTCCTTTTGTATTCATGAAATAAGGTCTGTATGGGAAGCATGACGTAATAACTAAACAGCACAGGGGAAGGAAGCCATGCACCTTTGTGGTGTCTAAATAAACAATAAATAAAAAGTAAATCAGGAAAACACTTGAAAATGAAAGACCGAGGTTAAAAAAAATAAAAAGAGTTCAAGATAACAAAAGCGCTCAAACACTCTCATCTTGTAAGGAAAATAAGTTTCATGGTTCGGGGAAACAGTCGACGCGGCACGAGGGTGGGAAGGAGTTAAATATAAAACCTTACAGCCTGTTCCCATGGCAACAGAGTGTCAGGGGGTGATCCCTCTCACCAATAATAAATAAAAAGTAAATCAGGAAATCACTTGAAAATGAAAGACCGAGGTTAAAAAAAAAATAAAAAGAGTTCAAGATAACAAAAGTGCTCAAACACTCTCATCTTGTAAGGAAAATAAGTTTCATGGTTCGGGGAAACAGTCGACGCGGCACGAGGGTGGGAAGGAGTTAAATATAAAACCTTACAGCCTGTTCCCATGGCAACAGAGTGTCAGGGGGTGATCCCTCTCACCGTCATGCCTTCCAGATGAAGTCATCTGGAAAGAAAGTATTCGCTCTCGCTCTCTCTGACTTCAAGTTGTGGTTGACATGCACTCCTCATGCTCGTGAATGCCATGTTGATTTTCGACATGTTTTATTTCAACTGCTTCTTTTTCATCTGAGGGTGACTGCTCGGTTCTTTTTCCAGACCTCGGACAAGTGGCGACACCTCCAATTAAAATTAGAAATTGTCCCAAAAGATGAAAAAATAGGGGGGAAATTTAAAATGCAAAATGTAGAATTTTCTTTCTCCTTGAGTGACTTGGATTTTCCCCATTAGTATTGTATTGAGGATTGTATGAGCCACATGAGTGCTGTCAAACAAATATGTTTTATGCTGCCGGCAAAGAGAAATTACTCGCTGCAGTCATTCCACCCACCCATCCATTTTCTAATCTCCTTCTCTTCACAGAGGTCGCGGGCGTGCTGGAGCCTATCCCAGCTGTCTTCTGGCAATAGGCGGGGGACACCCTCAACTGGTTGCCAGCCAATCGCGGAGCACACGTACACCAACAACCATTCTCACTCACACCAAGTCACAATTTAGAGTGTTCTGTTCACCTCCCGTGCATGTTTTTTGAATGTGGGAATCTTCAAAATTCAAATAAATATGACAGTCATGCCCATGATGAGCGCCCAGTATGTCAAGTTCTGACCCGTATTTGCTTATTATGACTTCTCTGAACATAACTCTGCCTTACATGTTGGATTTGTGAAGTCTTTCTTGATAGATGAACTTTTGTCATCATTTCAAAGAGTTCCCAAGGTCTCAACAACGTGTGTGGGTTCAGCAGCTGAAAGGTGTCTGATCTTCAGCCATCTAAGCTTCTAAGTCAGAAACATGTATAAACTAGCCACAATGTGACATCACGGTGGGAAATAAATCAGAAGGGCTTGGTCTCATACAAGACACGTTTCAGCAAAAGACGACAAAACAAAAGACCGACTTGTCCGTCCATATGTTAAAACACTTCAAACAAGGATCAGGAAAGACATAAAGGAAGTCACATTTTTTAGAAACACAATCGACTAGGGGGCAACTTCCTTTACATTGTAGTGTGAGTTCACTATTACAGTTTGATCTTGTTTTGGTGTGGAAGTTGAATTCGTGGAGGGACAAGCACAAAGTGATCAAGTGTTAACGCTCCCAAGCAGAATGCAGTTTGGGTCAGTAACAATCAGCTCAAGCAGCGGCGAAGAGGATTTAGAGAACGTTCTCTTGCGTTGCCAACACGTTTTTAAAGAATAAATGAAATCTACAAGAAAGTTAGTGAACGAGTTCATATTCCGGTACACATCAGAATTCCAGGAAGTTTGAGAACACATTCATTCACAAAGGGGCAGAAAAAATGTGACACATCAAAGTCAGAGGAAAAATGCATTGTGTCGAAGCAATTCAGTTCGTCTAAGAAAGTGATAATTTACACAATACACTATTCAACGTGAGAATGTGAAAGAGTATTCACACTTATCCTGTGCCAAAATACTTTGTAACTTTGATCCCAAAGAAAGAAAGTAAGAGCTGGTCTGCAACGGTGGAGCATGTTTTAAAGTACTGTACCTGTAACGTGTTGCTTTAAATGTTGTGTGATGAGCTGTCCAGCAGGAGGCGGTATTGCAACGTCTGTGAAACTGCTGTTGCCTTTCAACACCAATAAGGAGAATAGTTAGCGCTTGTCAACTTTTACATGATTTATAAGAAGACTGTGTGCTCTTTAAGTGTAGTAAATACGCGGAACACAGAGGACGGTGGAGATTAATTAAGGGAGGGGAACAATGGAATGCAATCCGGAATATACTAAAGCAAGAAGGACTGTTGGGAGATAGGAGTAGATCTCTATTTATTTTTCTTAATGATGCAGGTTTAATAAGAAGGATATAGTTATATGTTGTATGTATACACTGCATATGTGTGGGTGCTACTTTACTTTTTCCGGTGTCCTAAATCCTTCAAGATTGCAAAGCCTTTCAAATTCCTTGCGTTTCCTGTACGGTAGGTGGCGGTATACACCACGGCTCGGTAATTCCCCAGCAAATTAAACGAAGAAGAAAAGAAGAAGTCGTCTGACGGAAGTAATCAGCTGACCAACCTTACGTTAACAGCAGTGAAAAACAATAAACTAATGCGTACGGTATATGTATCAATAGAGACTATATTTGCCAGTCTGATACGTTTAGGTGTCATCGGGAAGAATATACAGCATGGCTCTAATAACAGCCAACTGGAATCCGATGGGAGAAGCTTTTTACCGGTAAATTTCAGCATCACGGGGTATACAGTACTGCCAGGGTACAAGATGCGGCTGTAAACATGCAACTGCATACTCAGAATTAACAATTTTCTTTATTCACATTCAACTGTACTGCATGACTGACAATTTAATCTTCTGTGACGCGTCCTCTCTCTCGCGATGATTTTTATATTCGCAACTGAAAGATGACATTCATTCAAGCGATGGGCGTTATCGCTGAAAAAAAATCTTGCATCAACTACCATAGAAATAAGAGATAATTATGTATATTTTTGAAGGGAAAAAAAAGCTAGGATAAATGCACAAATGCCTTTTTGTCAAAACGAATACGCATCCTAAAAAAGGCAATAACAATAATACTAATACTGCGACTAATAATCACTATTATTATCATTCCAATTATTTATTTTTGTACTATCTGTTTCAATTAATAGCACGTTTAGAGATACATGTTTACAAAGAACAAAATACCGTACATAAAACACAACATATCCCTCGTCATGCTCGCATATAGCCTTTCTCCCACCGGCTACAAGAAAAAAAAAAAGATTGACAAATTTGAGAAATCCAGGCAATGCAACATCCCAGTAGACCCGACTGAAACTAGAAGGGTTGATGAGGGATCACAAAAACATATACTTTAAAATACACACACCAAAATAACATCCATCCATCCATTTTCCAAACGGCATATCCTGAAGAAGGTTGTTGGGAGTTGCTGGATCTTATCCCAGCTGACTTAGGGCGACAGGCAGGCAGCACCCTGAACTGGTTGTGTTTTGGCAGTAAAACCGAGCTGTATGAGATGAGTTGGAACCTGAGAGATGGACTCAAAGACTGCTTGATGGCGGCGGCACCTTATGGCGGACCTATAGGTACACACATGTCCGTACGGTATGGACTTCATGGCCAAACTGAGTGTTTTTGTTTGTCACAGCTCTCCTCAGAGAACCACTTCGACGTTCACCAAGTTGTCGTCCTCAGTTGGAGATTTATTCTGCTTCCGGTGTTGCCATTGCCAGTTTTCCGGTAAGCGCTAGTGGCACCACCCTAACTGACAAACTCCCCTTTACCCTTTACTGACATTTGGTGTGTATGTGTGGTAGTGGAAAAGCGGACCTGTGATCCAGCTGGGTTGGACAGTGTCGGATGAGTTGTTGTGTATTCAAGAAGATGGTTCAGTTCTGATTTATGACTTGTTTGGATCCTTCAAGAGACACTTCAGCATGGGACAGGTAAAATGTGCCCTTTTTATCTGGTAATTAATCCTCCTGACCCATCAACTGTGCAGAAACACCAAGGGCTTGATTCAGTTCAAAATAAGTTGCGCGGTTACTCACGCTAGCGGATTACACCCGTACGGTGTTGGCAATAGTTGTAAAGGTGGTGGGGACCCCAATATTTTTGCACGAATATTTTATAGTTATTTTTTACACCACGGAAAATATGGGAATGGCTAGCAAGCGCAAAATGAAATCTGGAGTGATAGAACTGGAAGTGTCAGGAGACGACAAGCAAAAATATTACTGAGTCACAGACCAAAAAAAAAAATGAAGAGTTGGATGGAGTTTTGTCATAGCGCATGGCATGACTCCCTCTTGTGACTGGCTCCATGTCAGCCTTGAGAGCGATCAGAATCTCCCAAATTGCATCAATGACGAGACGATGTGTCACAATATTTGTTGTTTCTGGCATTTCAAAAATGTTCACACGAGCGGAAAAAATCCATTCCCCCCTTTGCCTCTCATTTTGCGTAGTCGTCTTCGCCGTAGTAACCACAGTCACGGTTACACACGGCGATGCCTGCTTGCACCCGCCCTTCAGACTTAGCAATTTGTCTCGCGCTTGATCAATCACATTGCTCTCGCTAAATCAATCTGTGTGCAGATACCCCTCCGAGAATGTGCAACATGAACTGAATTGTGTTGCAGGAAGTGGTGCAGTCTCAGGTCTTAGAAGCCAAGGTGTTCCATTCTCCCTACGGAACAGGTGTCGCCATCATAACGGGATCTTTTCGCTTCACCCTGGCAACCAACATCACTGATTTAAAACTTAGGAGGTTACCCGCCGTCCCAGGTAACACTAGACCCCGTGCCGCAACCTCCCTGCACGTCAGATGATTTGCTCACATGATCTGCGTTTTATGTCAGGCCTGCAGGCGGCGCCGTCCTGTTGGGTTGTCCTCACGCAAGACCGCCAGACCAAAGTATTGTTGGCCACTGGATCTGAACTCTACATCCTGGACAATACTTCCTGCACCTCTGTGGTGAGATGGCGACAGACACACTGCTGCTGGCTGGTGTAAATAACAGGCGTGCCAACAAGTGACCTCCACGTTGTGTTCTGCCCATGTCAGTGTGCTCCAGGACTCAGTCCTCAGACGGGCAACATCCTCCATATGTCGGCGTCATTCAATTACAAATATCTTGCTCTCTTCACGGACACCGGACACCTGTGGACTGGCTTAGCTCAGCTTCAGGTGAACCTCATTGTTGTTTCATCACGTTTGAAGTGAACCACCTTGACGAAGGAGTGCGGTCTCCGTGGGAGATTGATGCGTGATTATATGTCTCCAGAGCAAGCTGAGTGAGGTCGACACCAAAGTGAGGATGCCACCCAAACAGATGGTCTGGTATGGAGCTTTCTCTCCGTTTCCTGCTTTTGTGATCTGTCGGTCCCTCTGTGCGCGTCCGAGTGTATGAGGCCAAGACACATCTTTACAATCTATTCAATGTGAAACTGTTGAAACCTTTAAAGCTGACCAACAAATCGACTGCTTATGTACTTGATACCAGTTTGTATCACGTTATTTGTGATGGCTTGTTTCTTTGTGCATATGAAAGTGCGCTTTTCCCTCCTCAATGTTTAACGTGATGTAAACCTAGACAGAGATGACACAAAGTGGAAGGAAACTGTTTCTACTCGACAGAGGTGGCCAAAAAGTGTATTCCAGCAAGAGCACTGTTACTTTGGGATCATTAAAATACCGTATTTTCTGCACGATAAGGCGCTTCGTCGTATAAGGCGCGCCTTCAACGAATGGCCTATTTTAAAACTGTTTTCATATCTGGGGCGCGCCGCATTGTAAGCCGCATAGAATAGAAGTTACAATAGTGGCTGAGGTTGCGTTATGCCTCCACTAGATGGAGCTACGCTAAAGGAAAGACAATACAATACAATACAGCTTTATTTATACAACGCTTACACAACCACTGCAGCTGTAAGAAACCACTTTACAGAATATTTTAAATACTACGCCCAAGAAATTAGAATATTGATCCATATTTAAGGTGCATCGAATTATAAGGCGGTACCAAAGGCTGGTACCTGCTCGTGGACCATCGGTCGGGGACCACTGTTTGAGCCTATATCTGTTCGATATTCATCCTATGTGGCTGTCGGTATGTCCAGGTGTCGCAGACCAAAATCCCAGCAACCATCTGTGGTGATGGTGTGGGACCACCTCCTCCTGGTGGCCGGAGTGTGCAACGACATCATCCAGTATCCTGAATAGCTTCGGCTGAGCTCTATATACCAAGTTCCTGCTCTTCTTTTCAGTTTTTATCCATGTCGCGCAGAAGTGACCTCTTCTCGGAGGGTTTTATCCTTGACCCCACTGCAGATTCCCACTCGACAGTCGATGCGTTTGTGTCGGCGAGCTGGATGGCGTTCGGATCATCAGTTCAATCAATCAGGAGCTGCTGCAGGAGGTTCCGGTCGTCTGTCAGGACATCTTTAAAATCGCTTCCATGGCGCCTGGGGCGTTGCTGCTGGAAGCCCATCGCGAGTATGAGGTAGTATGGCGCGATTCCCTTATCGCTTGCTTCTTGGTCCAAAAGTAACATACCGTAAGTGTATGGGTTGCGTGCGGGTGTGAGTCTAGAAGTCCAGTCAAAAGGCTGATGAGTACCTGCGGGAAATCAAGGAGCAAGGAATGCTGGCAGAGGCGGTTCGACAGTGCGTTGAGGCGGCAGGACATGAATACGACTCCAACACCCAGAAGTCTCTGCTCCGGGTGAGACCAGAACAGCTTATCGTTGGCTGATTTTATTCCGTCAAGTATCGGAATCCATATTCAGTCGAGCCCGATTAAAATGTTGAATTTTAATGCGTTATAATGGTGTGTTTTTTTTTGGTTTTGTTTTGTGTGTGTGTCTCCGTAATCATGCACTCACCAGGCGGCATCCTTCGGGAAATGTTTCCTGACAGACTTCAGTCCGGAGCATTTTGTAGCCACCTGTCGAGAGCTACGCGTCCTGAATGCCGTCAGAGAGTGCAGCGTGGGTCTGCCACTCACGCACACGCAGTATCCTCACGCTCCGTCTCGGAGACACACAAATAATTAATGCTCGGATCTTCTTAGTGCGACCTCCTTGACCTTTGATAACAGATTCAAACAGATGACCCTGCAGGTGCTGATCGACAGGTAAGTCCGCTCGACTCGGATCCCGTCATTTTTGCCAACGTCATGACAATCATGGGCACGTGTAGGCTGGTGTACCGTCAGTTCTATCAGTTGGCGATAGAAATCTGCCGTTACCTGAAGATTCCGGATTTTCAGGGGGTCAGCAGGGTTCTCAAGCACTGGGCTGCGTGTAAAGTAAGTCGATTCCTTACCTTCTGGCATGGTACGGTACGCCCTTCGACCAATGCAACGGTCCTGTATGGGTCTCTTGATGTGGGCGTGGCCAGGTCCAGCAGAAGGAACTCTCGGATGAGGCCATAGCCAGGGCGGTGTGCCTGAAGGTGGGGGACTCCCTGGGTGTGTCGTACTCGCACATCGCTGCCAAAGCCTTTGAATGTGGCCGAACAGAGCTCGCCATCAAGGTAGAGACGCTCCTTCCGACGGCTACGCTTTGCTTAGTTTTCTTGACTCGCCGTTAGGCGTGGACATGAATTCTTATTACCGTATTTTCCACACTAAAAGGCGCACTGGATTATGAGGCGGACTTTCAATTAAAGGCCTATTTTGTCATTTTTTTCCGTATATTGGACGCACTGCACTATAAGATGCAATCTGCAATGCATCCACTAGATGGAGCTATGCTCAAGGAAATGCCAACAGAACTGTAGCAACGCCACTCGCCTCAGCCGTCCATCGTCGCTGCTCTCCGCTGTGCCTCCGCTGACGCAACCCACGTCACAGGTCAAAGAAGCTTTGAACAAACGACAATAGCTAAGATAGCTGTTGAGTGGCGTTGCTACAGAATGGTCAGATGTCAGTCAAATGTATTTAATAAAGCAGCGACACAGTTCACTTGACCAACAGCAAGTTAGAACATTGACTCGTTAACGTTGAACTCTCTTGCCGCTGCTCGATTTCCGTGTTCAACTGCGTAACCCGATCTGCTGAAGTTTGAACTCTGCGTTGGAAGCATGTCTCGAGCAAGGAGCCATTTTGGGGTCAAAATATTACCGTAATGACCATACACAAGGCGCATCGGATTTTAAGGCGCGCTGGGAGCTTTTAAGAAAATGGAAGGCTTTTAGGTGCGCCTTTTAGTGTGGAAAATACAGTACACCCGCAACTGGTAATAGTCATCATTTGTTCGACAAAAGTCGGGATGAGGAGTGATCTACGCAATCTGATTTCTTTTCGCTCATCGCAGCTGTTGGACTCGGAGGCTCGGTCCGGCGAGCAGGTTCCTCTTTTGTTGAAGATGAAGAGGAGTCAGCTGGCTCTCAGTAAAGCTGTCGAGAGCGGAGACACCGACCTGGGTATGTCTTATGCTCAACACACATTTGCAGAATACACGACAGTTAAGCTAGCGGACTTTTTAGCGGTTGTGTTGAATACCAAAGGTGACATTTTTTTTTTTGATTCATGTTTAATTTGGCGGTAAACCTCAACTGGGATCGGCAACTAAGAGCTTGATGGCTCTTTTCTGATTAATTCAAATTGGCTGGAGACCGGTTCAGGGTGTACCCTTGCCTCTCGCCCCAAATCAGCTGCAATAGGTTGCAGTAAACCGGCGACCCGAATGAGGATAAGCGGGACCAAGAACGGATGGATGGATGTTTATTTATTTAAATGGCATGTTTTTGTGTGTACGTGCGTGTGTCAGTTTACATGGTTGTCACTCACCTGAAGAATGAGATGAACAGAGGAGATTTCTTCATGACGCTCAGAAACCAACCTGTCGCTCTGAGTCTCTACAGACAAGTAAGCACTTTTCCCGCCTCGTCTTCATTCTTGGGGATTGGCCTCCGAATCATGTGACAAACTCGCAGCTCCTTCAATTCGTGTTGTAGTTTTGTAAACTGCAGGAACAAGAAACTCTGAGGGATCTTTATAACCAGGATGACGACCATCAGGAGCTGGCCAACTATTATGTCGCCACCAGTTACAGAGAGAAGGTTTGACGCACACGCGCATGCGCGCACACATCAGAAAAATATGTTGAAGTGGACTGAGGAAGTTCATCGACATCGCCGTGCCGCTCTCTCGTGGCGTCTCGGTGCCGAGGAACGACGTAGAAATGAACGAAAGAGTTTTGCTTTGATAAAAGTAGTGCTTTGTCGCTTGTGGCACCCATATGCAATTTAAACCTTTTAGTGATATTTACTTTTACGAAGACTCGCATCCTTTTTTTCCCCATCAAGGAGTATGTGTGACATCATTGTTTTAAAAAAAAAAAAAAAATCTGTAGGCCAACAAGCACACGCGCATGCGCGCACACATCAGAAAAATATGTTGAAGTGGACTGAGGAAGTTCATCGAAATCGCTGTGCCGCTCTCTCGTGGCGTCTCGGTGCCGAGGAACGACGTAGAAATGAACGAAAGAGCTTTGCTTTGACAAAAGTAGTGCTTTGTCGCTTGTGGCACCCATATGCAATTTCAACCTTTTAGTGATATTTACTTTTACGAAGACTCACATCCTTTTTTTCCCATCAAGGAGTATGTGTGACATCATTGTTAAAAAAAAAAAAAAAAAATCTGTAGGCCAACACTGAGAAATGGACGCTTGCGCTTGTGTGTGTTTTTTTTTTTTTTTTTTTTGAATTTGCAGAGGTTAGACAGCCGTCTGTCCCACCTGCAGAGTGCCGTCGACGAATACAAAAATGGACGCATGCGCTTGTGTGGTTTTTTTTGAATTTGTAGAGATTAGACAGCCGTCTGTCCCACCTGCAGAGTGCCGTTGACGAATACAATAAAGCCAAAAATGAGTTTGCTTCCAAGGTAAGAACACACTGACTGAACTTTCTCTCGGGAGGACAAACAAGGTATTCGCGTGCCCAATCGCCGTTGACGATGAGCAACAACCGTCTTTACAGGCCACCGAAGACGAGATGCGCCTCCTCCGTTTCCAAAAGAAACTGGATGATGAGAAGGGCGCCGGCCTTATGGGCTTGTCGCTCCAGGTAGGTGCTGTCAACGGTTGGGGTCATTGAGGCCATCCCTGTTTAAAATGATTTGGTGTTCTTCCCATGGTCTTACTCCCTATTCAGGCAACCATGGAAACTCTGCTAATGTTGGGACTCTACAAGCAGACGGATCAACTTTATCGAGACTTCAAAGTACCCGACAAGAGGTATGTCGAGGAAGCGATTCCAGTGCGCTCTATTTAGCGCAAGGGGTGTCAAACAGGAGGCCCGCAGAGAAAATAATAGCGTGTAGTGTTAAGAGTTCTATCATTTCCGACTATCTGTGAAGCCGTGACCGCGTATCGGACGACTCCTGATTTGTGATTGGATGAAAAAGCCAAGGGGGTTGGCCAAGGTACGGAAGCAAGGAAGGAGCCCGTTCGGCTTATCCATCCATTTTCCGATCCCCTTTATCCTCACAAATTTCCGACTATCTGTGAGGCCGTGAACGCGTATCGGACGACTCCTGATTTGTGATTGGATAAAAAAGCCAAGGGAGTTGGCCAAGGTATGGAAGGAAGGAGCCCATTCGGGTTATCCATCCATTTTCCGATCCCCTTTATCCTCACAAGGGTCGTGGGGGTTGCTGGAGCCTATCCCAACCGTCTTTAGGCCGTAGGCGGGGGACACGCTGAACCGGTTGCCAGCCAATCGCAGGGCACACACAGACGAAGAACCATCCGCGCTCACACTCACACCGAGGGACAATTTCGAGTGTTCAATCAGCCTGCCATGCATGTTTTTGGAACGTGGGAGGAAAGCGGAGTACCCGGAGAAAACCCACGCAGGCCCGGGGAGAACATGCAAACTCCACACAGGGAGGCCGGAGCTGGAATTGAACTGTGTACCTCTGCAAAAATGACCGCAGCTTACTGTGCGAGCTGTGTCAGCTGACAGGCACTCGCTCTGACTGACTACTTGAACTGTGCATCTGTATGCCTGTCTTATAGTGCCGTGAGGTGGCCACCGAAGGAGCAGCCCAATTGAATTGTAGCAAAAAAAAAAAAAAAAAAAGTGACAAACTCGTTAATTTCTTGACATCCCTGAAATATAAATAGTTTGGCACCCCTGGTTAAGATCATCTTGAAGTTAGTTCAAATTCTGCCTGTCTGCCTGTCTAGGTATTGGTGGTTGAAACTTAAGTCTTTAGCAGAGAAGGAGGAGTGGGAAGAGTTAGAGAAGTTCTCCAAGAGTAAAAAGTCCCCAATAGGGTACCTGGTAGGTGGAAGTAGCCCGCAGCTGGCCCCAACGATCCTTTTTGACTTTTTTAATGTGAAGAACATTTCTTGTGCATCATCTTCAGGCCTTTGTGGAGGTCTGCATCAAGAAAAATAACAAATATGAGGCCAAGAAGTACATTTCCAGAGTGACGCCCGAGCAGAAGGTCAAAGCTCACCTGGCCGTCGGGTAAGATGTCAGCGCACCTCCAAACCCTTCACCGTGACCACAACAGTCATCAATTCTTGCTCCAAAGGGGAAAAACGCTTCTGCTCTTTTTCGCAGCGACCTCGAAGGGGCTGCAGACGCAGCGATCGAACGCAGGAACGAAGCAGAAATATCGGCGGTGCTCGCAAGATGCTCCGCCTCGGATCGCTTGTTGACCGACAGGTTAAATCGAGCCAAGTTGTCCACTGCCAAAAAGTGACCTGAAAGTCCCCGTGTGTGCCAGTTATCTCGGCCGCCACCTTGACCCGATATAATTGGTTGAAGGAGCCCCTCACTACATTGCTATTGCCAGGCAAGTTTTGGATTTGCTCACTTGATTGGCTTTGACAGTTATCGACATTATGTAGCAGTCGAATTGTATCGTTACTCCCAGCCAATCAGTGCACAATCACGAGTGTCAAACTCGAGGCCCGGTGGCTGATCGGGATGCCGCGTCTTTTTTCCATTGGGCCCACGAAAGCAAATGCGTCTTGCCCAGATGTCGCAGTTGTACCGTGATTGCAATTTGTCTCGACTGAGCAGATTCCACAAGCGGTATTTTTTTCCTTAACATTATTTGAATAATAAGTCATACTTATTTGCTTGCCATAATGTTTCATGACTTCTGATATCAAATTTATTTTTAACAATATAAATACAAATCAAAATATACAATTGTGCACAGTATGTGAAATAATGACACTTTTGTTCCAAAACGGCCCTCTGAAAGAAATTGTCAATATGATGTGGCAAATGCCAAAAATGAGTTTGACTTCCCCTCGTGTTGAAAAATACGAACACATTTCTTACAAATTACCGTCATTGCAATGGCAATTAATCATGTAGTTGTCGCCGACGCTAGATGACGTAACCCGCAACATTGAGCCACGCTTGGCACTTGACAGTGCATAGCTCATCTTAACCATGATAGTCAAATGTGTCATTATTTGTCACAATGCTAAAATATTTCATGTTTGCTGCCGACAATGCTCAAGTCTTCTGTAAATAACGTGTGTGATTAAACCAGTGTGTGTTCGTTGAGTCTTGTCATCTTCATCGAGCTCACAAAAGGTGTTTGTGAGCGACATCAATGGGCAGAAATGACATCCTCAAGCTAATTGCTCTGACAGTGGGTCGGTCGGCCTTGGCTCAATCAAGTTTGCGGGACCAACCTTTAGTGAACAATCAAAACAAATAACGGCGAGCATTTTAGCGTTGTATCAACGTGTTTTTATTTATTTACAAGCAAATATAGACTCGACAACAGGAACGACGACAAAAACTGGAGACTCTACAAAATGTAGAAAACTTGTGCTCTTTTGTGTTCATGTTAACGTTTTGAATGAAAAAGATGAGGGCAGCGTTGGGTGGGGTCTCTGATGGGAAAGAAATAAGCAGGCGGGAAACGGGTTGGTCTGATCGGGGGTTGTTCGAGGCGCGGGGTGGCCTCCTCAGCGAGGAAGTCGCGTAGAAAACAGAAACGTGTGATTCTGTGTGGTTGTTTCGTGCGAGGCGAGTCAGAAAAGTTGGTGGCACAACTCGCGAGTTTTCTCAACAAGGAATGAAGCAAACGTTGCAGACGAGTTAGTTGATCGTCTGGCCTATTTCGAACCAGAAATGTCGTTTTGTGGATGTGAAATACATAATTTGTGACATCTCGTCTTGTAACTTTGCTGACGCACTTCATATGTCCTAGCTAGTTAAGACTTGAGGTGAATGAAAGAATTGTTCATGATTCATAACAATAAGTTACAGATCATTTGTTTCAATTTTTTTGTGGTGCTTTGTTCGCTGGATTTTACAACGTGTCATTGAATGTAATCTGAAGTGACATTTGGTCGCTAACAGTTGAAAATACAGCACAAACCAGTAATAGGACCCTGTACGCGTTTCACTTAACAAATCTCCCGAGTCCGACCAAAAATTCTGGCTCACTCGCAAGATTCCAAAAAAGCTTTTACTACAACACTCACATATACTTGTACAAAATCTTGTGGGACTCAGTCGGGGGCCGCAAGATATCAGCATGTGCTTTTCGTTGCTTTTTAAGGTCCGCTGCAGAGCTCATCGACCACCCTCCCCCCCAAACCAAAAAATGTGGGAACAGGTCGTCTTCAGTTTGTGAATATCCGTTAAAGATAAAAGTCAGCTTGTTGCTTGAGCAGTCTACACACAAGTTGATCCATCTCGCTGACTGACCAATTGGATAGCGCGATGTCAGTGTTCCTCAATTCAAAATGTTCAAAGTGCATTTTGTTGCCATTAATTCAAGGTGGGCGAGGCAATTTGTTGGGCAATCTTTGCCGCTTCAGTAGTGTTCTTCGGGGTGGGCCGGGTCGCAGAAGAATCGAGAGCTACGTTTGGCCGACCGAGCTGTGAAGGGGCCGGTTTTCAGAGCTGGGGGGGAAAGGGGAAAATGGACATTTAAATGGCAAACAAGACCATAGATAGTTATATAGCAAGCGAGCTCGATAGATAGACAGTTAGCTAGTAAGCTAGCTTGAGAGATAGATATACTAAACGTTAGCTAGCTAGATAACTGTAGTAGCTAACTAGTTAGCAAGACAGATAAAGAACACTATTGAACACCTCTTTCGGAAACATAATTACATGATTGCCCAATGTCCAAAAATGGAAAAAATATGTAATCTGGCAGGAAACATACATTTACTAAACATGACAGTATATTCTAGCTATAGTGAAAAACCTGACAAAAATCCTCATCCTTGTAAAGTTTCACTACATTTGCATCAACACAGCCAAAATGATTAAAACAAAAGCAGCATGGTGGGCACACATGGCAAGCACAGAGCAGTTAGGGTTAAAAAAAAAAAAACCCTTAAATACTCAACACAGTATCTAAAAGATCCTAACGACAAAAGTCGTCATTCCTCATGGCGTTCGCCCGTGACTTCATGAGGTCAGAGGTCAATTACCTGTGATGATGTCCTCGATGGCGCCGTCCTTCCCCTCGTAAACGTGGCGGCTGTCCTTTCCTTGTCGTCGTCTCAGCTCTGTCAGAAGCTCCTGCTGCTGTCGTTTGCCCTTGTGAGATGGTGACTGGGATGGAACGAGCAGGAAGTTGAAAGACTTTCCAGAAGCACCGACCGACATTTACATATGTAAATTGAAAAATACCACCCTCCTCCCGCGGCTTCGGATGACCACCCGTCTTGGTCCTACCTTGGTCTCTTCATCCTGCTGCTGCTCCTCCTGTTCCAATTTCTCCAACATCATCTGCTCCTGACGCCGTCGCTGTTCGTTCTCCTCCTCAGCCAGCTGAGCACGAGCACGTCAGCGCGCGCGCACGCACGCGTGGGTTAACAGCGGTCACAAAGTTTCTTTAACTCGAAGGCTACGAGGTTTCGTGGGTCACTCACCCTGTAAGCTTTGATGAAACGAACAAAGATGGGAAAGAAGACGGACGGCGGCATGGTTTTGGAGCTCTCCCCGAAAAATTTCACCACATCTTCAAAGGCGTCCTTCGGAGAGTGAAGAAAATGATTGAGCCAAGGAAAAAAAATATTCCACAGCAGATGACCAAGCAAAAAATTTTGACAAAAAGTATACGAGATGTGAGCGGCCTGACTCACGAGTTGTTGGGGCCTCGTTTAGTTTTCAAAACAGGGTTATAGCGTTTTAAAGTTGGGTCACAAAATGTAACAGTTTGCAACTCATTTGACAATCAGAATGTGAGACCTCAGACTTCAAACCGGGGTTAGCATTCCCAAATTAGGGTTTCCAACGAGGGTTAAAACATTTGACATTATTTACAGTAAATAACATGGTTTATGTAATAATAATAATCTTCAGACCAGTACATAGTTGGTGATCTCTCACAGCGCTTGGGAATCACTGCACAAGTGTGTGTGTGTGCATGTGCGCGCGCATACCTGGGCTATACGCGCATCCTCCTGAAGTTTGTTGAGTCGCGATTCATGCCTGCTGATGAAATCTTTCAAGGTGGCGTTGTGCTGCACGCTGAACTCGCGCCAGGTGAGTTCCATCCCTCGCTGCAGGTCCTTGACATCGCACAAGACGTTCTCCAGACTCACTGAAACGCACACACGCACGTATGGACTCGATGACATCGGGTGCAACGCATCAAAGAGAGACGACGTCATCGGTCCGCTTCGAACCTGCGGCCGCCTTGTCCACATAGTGAAGTTCGTTGTAGAAGAGCGCCGCCGTGGGATATTTCTCTCTGACCACGTTGCTGATGTAGTGAAGCAGCGTCTGCGTTCTGTCCGTTGACTTGGTCTCCAGGAGCTGAAACCGCATCAATGGTCAACGGTTTGCCAACTTTGGACTAAACCAAGGACTGGACGGGACTTTGGACTTGAAGTACATGACTTGACATATCTATGCCAGTTTGTGTCGAAAAGATCATACACGGTTCCCACTCTTCCACTTGTTTTTTATTGATGGACCTTTTGAGGGCTAATTTAGCCATTTTTTTCAGTACTTTTTCTTCATTCAGCAGGGGATTCACGGTGGATTTAATGCCCGCTCGGCAATATACGGGCTGAACAGAAAGCCACAATATCGCTGAGCTGGTGTTCAAATCATTGCTGCTAAAGGAAGGGCACATTTTTATTTTTAGGGGCAATCGGCTCACCCTTTATTTGACATACTGCATGTCAAATTAATGAAAAAAAATTGAGTTCAATCTAAAAAAAAAAAATGGAAATTTAGAAAATATAAAACTTCAATTTATTCTCAAACAAAAATACATTTTTAAGGATTTTTATTGATTTTTATCCGCTTTCCCTGAAAATTAAGGACAATTATGAACACAATTTTACAATTTCGTTTTTTATGGATATTTATGAACTTTAAGGACCCGTGGGAACCCTGTCATAGGAAAGTTTTTTTTGTAGTATACGCAAATCTGGTCACTCATCAGTATGCTATGATGCTGAGCGCATAAAGATCTTTGAATTGTGAATTGCAGAAGCACGGAACGATGAGGGCACCCCAATATCCGACTGGACAAATACATTTTGACATCCACTTGATGTTTTTGGAGCGTTTCCTCGCCCTCTCTTGTGGTGTTCAGATCGCAAGATGTCATGAGTCGACGTCAACTGTGGGCATGCGAAGCACTTTGAGACTCTTTTGGGATTAAGTCAATACATTTGACTTGACCTGATTTTGACTTCTTGTTCTGCATGGATGGCGTGCAAGAACGCAAAACATTACAACTTGTCCATTTTTCAGCTCCATGTAGAGACAGTCGTGCAATGTATTGGAAATCGCTTAAACTAGGGGGGGCGGTGACGACTGAGCGAACTAAATTTCCCGCAGCACTGATTGGACAAGCAATGTCATGTGATCATCTGCAGCCAATGATGGCCAAGCGGGCGTGTCATAACTAATTGACATCTTTGAGTCGGGTGTGTCTTAACCTCCGCGTTTGAACCCAGGTTAAGAACCACTGGCCCAGAGAAAACGTAAGAGGCCGACTTGGTGTTTTTTTTTTAAACCCAATTTAAATACAACCTCACTAAGCAGCGAGATTGAAAACAATCAAAGAAAGCGAATTTAAATCATTCCTGCCAGGATATCAGCGCTCTCATGTAAAACTGTTCAATCGATCTGACACTTGAGCTACAAACATTTGCGCCTTTTGCATTCAACTTGATTGATTATAGCAGTGTTTTTCAAACCCTGTGCCGCGAGACATTGTCAGGTGTGCCGCGGTAAAATATCCATCCAATTTGTATGCCTGTGCGGTCTATCGCCCAGAAAGTAATCATGTAGTACCCTCCCAAACCGCTAGGGAGCAGCAACAGCTAGCCAATTGCCTTGCGTTTTGACGAGAGACAAGAGAGACAATATAACACATTAAAATAATGTTTTCAACTCGTGGTGTGCCGCGAGATTTTTTTTCAATGAAAGAAGTGTGCCTTGGCTCCAAAAAAGTTTGAAAAACACTGGATTATAGAACCCGACATTTCCAGACCTCCCCCAGCCCCCAAGCGTGTGTGTGCATGTTCGTGTGTTACCAGGTCTAAGCTCTGAAGTTTGAAGCCATACACCGCACCTCTCTTGCTGCTGTTCATGTAATTCCCGAGAGCTAAGATGATCTGCGACCACAAAAACAAAAATGAATCAGAAGGACGAGGACAAGTGCATGGCGAGCGCGCACGCTCACGATGGTAAGAAACTGACCTCGAGTATCTTTTTCAGCTTCTGGGATGATTTTATGGAAACGGATGCCGCGATCATGGCATGGAGTTGCTGCGAGGAAACGAGGGCTCGTTAGAAGAGGAGCACAACGACGGGTTCGGGAGCTTCGACCGGTCCGTGCGCGACTTTACCGGCGTTAACAGTTGTACGTTGTCGCTGAAGTTTCCCATGAAGGTCATGATGGACATGCGCTGGTTCAGTCGCTCGATGCGACTGAACTGGATCATGAAGCCGTCTTCGTCGCTCAGCGCCTCCAAAGGTTTTCGGTCTCGCTCGTACTGACGGAGAAGCTTCACCTCGGCTTCGGTTGGCAGGAAACGCATCAGACACTCCACAAAGTCCACCCGAATCGTCCGCAGGTCAAACCTACGCGAGCACAGACTCTTGATTTTGACACAGACAACTGAGTCGTTTTTTTTTAAGACACTTTACTTGAGTACTTGAATTTCAAAAAGCGCCTGCTATCTCTTTTTTTTTTTTTCCCCGTCCTCCACAGATGAAGTATGTGACGCACTTTGGAGTCTGGCATGGGTTGCCCCTCCCTCGCTACTTTTTTTACATGAGTGGTAATCCGGTTCAATTGCAGCATGCAGTTAGCTTGCTAGTCCCTTCGCACAGTCCACTAATGTGGCTGCTTTAGAGTGCCTTGTTGTCAGCGCTGAGCACGTGCCCGTCATGCAGAGAAAAGTGGAAGAGCGAGGGGAAATTATTATTATTATTTTTTTTTTATGCGTCTGTCTTGACCGCCAGCGTGTGGAACGGAGTTTCCGGCTGTCTTTAGAGCGCCTCGTTGTCACGGCACGGAAAAGCCCCACGACGACCTGGCGGGGCGTATTCCAGCCAGTTTTAGTGATGCGGAAGTGTTTGAAAGATGCCCGATGAAGTAGCGTCCATTTTCGAGGTCGTAGCAGTGCGATGTGATTGACAGCTGGCAGATGAGTGGGGGGCGCGACTTCGGCAGATTTTTTTTGCAATTTTGAGGCCTCATTTGACATCCACGACTCTGCAATATTATTTTTAGTCGTTCAAATTTGACAGTTCAGGAAACACTGTTGTGGGGCATCAACTATAGAAGACATTTCTTTTTCCTTGAGGGACTTGGAAGTAATTTGCTCATTTGTGCGGCTGAGCATATTTCCACGCGAGTCTTACATGTGGATGGCGCGGCAGATGACCTCTGGACCCTGACCGGCCTTTCTCAGCGTGATGGCTAGATTCTTGGCTCGGTTGGCGTCCAGCAAAGAGACTCTAGATGGAGCCTTCTGGGGAAGTTTCTGTCTGGACAGAGTCAAGTCCATTGCCGGACCCTGAGCCTTTGTTTTGAAGAGTTCCTCAAAGCCCTCCACGTCCAGATCCTGGACACGAACAAAGCGTTCATGACTGGATCCACTTTTTCAAACGCGTCAGGTCGATTTAATCGTCACCTGCAGGATGGCTTCGTCGTCGATGTCGTTGAAGACGGTGCCGTTGATTTGACTCGGCTTCAGGGCGACCCAATTCAAGACCGGCATCCGAAACTTGGTCTGGATCGGCTTCTTTATCTTCACCGCTGCACAAGCGAGCAAAAGGGATTGGACAGAGCCGCGGACACTTGTCGTGTTTCTTTTCAAACGAGGTTGGCGGGTTGACGGACAACGTATGCATGAGCTACCGTGAGATGGGCAAGCGTGAAACAGCTGAGTGATCGGTGGAGATGGATGATGGATAGAAAAGTGACGCGTGAATAATGGGGAGATGATTGACAAGTTTTGATCGCTTTACATATGTGTGTCGTCATTCAACCTACAGAATAACTTGAATGGTCCCTCTGACAGCAGAAAATAAGAGAAGAAAGTTGTTAGTGACAAAAGTGAGAGAAATGCCCAGTCCGGCCTGAAAAAAATTATTCGCTCTCCAAGCACTGCCATCATAGCCAACGTTAAAGTACAGAGGCATAGTAGGCTGATGTTCTACTCCTACTAGAGGCAGTATATGCTTGATACTATTGTCAGCAACTGTAACAAGATGTTATGAAATTAACATTGTGTTTGATTGTATGAATATAAAAAAAAAAAAAAAAATTGCAGCTAAATATATCCATCCATCCATTTTATGAACCGCTTTATCCTCACAAGGGTGACGGGGCGTGCTGGCGCGTATGCCAGCTGTCTTTGAGCAGCAGGCGGGGGACACCCTGAACCGGTTGCCGGCCAATCGCAGGGCACACAGAGACAAACAACCATCGGCGCTCACACTCACACCAAGGGACAATTTAGAGTGTTCCGTTAACCTGCCATACATGTTTTTGGACCGTGGGAGGAAACCAGAGCACCCGGAGAAAAGCCACAGAGGCCTGGGGAAAATATGCAAACCCCACATAGGGAGGCCGGAGCCGGAATCGAACCCTGCACCTCTGCACTGTGAGGCCGACGTGCTAACCAGTCGACCGTCATGCCGCCCAACTGAATGTAGTTCAATTAAAACATATTGCGCAAAAAAGTTCAATTAAAAACGATCAATGTTTGAAAGAGTTCCTCAAGATTAGAGGCCAAATGTATCGAAGTGAAACGTGAAATACTGAACTGCACTTGGGCAGTGATTCTTTCGCTGACTACACATTGAGAATCGCTGCCGTGCGCGCTCACCTGCGAGCCCGGAGTTGAAGATGACAGTGGGCGACCCCCCCGGGCCCGGAAGCGGGGGGGCCACAGGTGGAGGAGGAGGTGGCATCGGGAGGGTGGAGGAGAGCTCGCTAGTCCGACACGGAGGGGGAGGAGGCGGGGGAGGAGGCGGAGGAGCAGGCGGCGGAGGGGCGGGGTACAACCCGTTGGACACTAGAAAGAAGACGACATTCCAGTGTGGGTGCATGTTGGACAGGAAGATCTTAGCGGTCACCTCAATCAACATTTTTACGGTGGTGGGGGGGGCTCCAGTGACATGACTTGAGTTTGCCAATTTTGGAACGTCCATCCATTCATTATCTGACCCGCTTTTCCTCACAAGGGTCGTGGGTGTGCTGGAAGCCAGCTGTCTTCGGCAGGAGGCGGGGGACACCCTGAACCGCTTTGCCAGCCAAATCGCAGGGCACACAGAGATCAACCGCGCTCACACTCACATCTCGGGACAATTTCGGAGTGTTCAATCAGCCTGCCATGCATGTTTTTCGGAATGTGGGAGGAAACCGGAGTACCCGGAGAAAACCCACACATGCAAACTCCACACAGGGAGGCCGGAGCTGGAATTGAACCTGGTACCGCTACACTGTGAGGTCGACTCAGGTGGATTCGTTTTTCTGATTGAAGGCATTCACAATCACCTGAGCCTGGCACCGGCGGCGGGGGTGGAGGCGGCGGGGGTGGAGCCGGCATATCTGGAGCACCGCCCATTCCCGGCCCCATGTTATGATAGGCCACCGTCTCGGGGCTGGAGCATAGAAATGATCATCAGAAATGCGCCGAGCGTTTTTTGCGTTACATCCAAACATGCGCGGGAGGTTTGGCGAAGGCGCTACCTGGGGGAGAGAGCGGAGCAGGGAGGAGGCGAGGGCGAGGCGGAGTTAGCCACACCCCCATCGCCTTCTCCTCTTTGGGGTTGAGGAGCTCCGGGACCGCCGGCCTGTTGGGCCTCGTGGGCCTGTCGCTCCAGACGACTCTGACGGCGGATGGTCTGGTCCTTCTCCCGAACGATCCGCCTCAGCGTGTGCACCTGCGTGTTGGCGCTGGCATACACGTCCTGCGAAATTTTGGCAATGTTGAACAAAGATGGTGGAGAAAAGAAAACGGCTCTTTGGGGGGGTCTCGACGGCAGAGAAAAGTCGGCTTGATTTTGGAACGTGACTGACCCGGAGTTGGTCGAGCTCTTTGTTTGTTTGCATCAGCTGTTTTTCCAGTTCCACGATCTTCAGCATGGCTTCGTTTTCGACGTCGAGCAGCCGCTCCGACATCTGCGTGGAGACTCAGGTGAGTGGGGAAAAGTCGTCTCTCTTTGTCCGCCATTTTGGTTTGTCGGCCATTCTTACGGTACTCAAGTTCTCCTCCAGCTCTTCCACCCGTTCGAGCGCCGCCGTTTTCGTCTCGGCGTCTTCCAGCAGCGTTCCGACGTCAAACACGTTGTCCAGGTAGGCCTGGATCTGCACCTGTAATCTGTCGCTCTCCGTGTGCTTCAGCCTCTGGCAGATTGGCGGGGGGGGGCAAGAGGAGAAGGATTCTCTCGTGGACGCGATTGTGCAGTTGGACGGAGACGATGCGATTGAGGCGAAGTGCGGCGACGGCTCCCAAAATTTGTTACCTCCAGGTGGTCGTCCAGGTTGAGTTTGGTGAAGTCATACTGCAGATGCACTCGGAAGTTCATGTCCTCCACCGAGTGCACCACGATGTTGATGAACTGCATGCACGCCACCTGACCGACGATCACGAGGAGCGCAGACGGAGCGAAACGATCGGTCAGGTGGTTCCACTTCAAAATTGATTTGGTGGGTTTTCAAGCTAACGAGGTTCGAAACCGATGGGCCGTCACGGTTCGGCGAGCTCACCAGGAAGTCGATATTGTCGTCTTCGTTTTTGAAATGCTCCATCAACTTTTCAAAGCGCATGGACTCCGAGCACACCTGGAAAAGATCGAGCGAAACCATCAACGATCGGTCGTCAAGACGGGGAGAAGTCAGGACGGCTCTCGCGCGGCTTTGACTCAAAGGGCTTTTTACCGTTTTAAAGTTGTCGAAGGCCGACAGGATGATCTCGTGTCCTCCTCTGACCAAACACACGGCCGCCAACAACTCCAACACCAGAGCCTTCGTCCTGGCGGGGGGGGGCGCACGGAATCGAGCTTTTAGCCCTTTGCTAATTGGCTACATGCCGTCATGCGGCGCGTGATGGGCGTTCGCGCGGCGTGCGCTTAGCTACCTTGCGTTCCTGTTGTTGAGGCTCAGAGCAATTTCGTTGACCCCGTGCGGATGAGACATGACCATGTTGAAACCGTACTGAGGAGGTCAGAACAAAACGGGATGACTTCCGTGCTTGCCGCCGCTCATCACGTGACAAGGCGCAACGTTGGCGTTTTCACACGTACTTATTTTTCCGAATCGCGTCAATGCAACGACTTCAAATCATTTGCTTCGATTGATTATTGAAGCCACATCGTTTTTTGTTTTTGGGGGGGGTCCACACCTGGTAGTTCATGATGGCTCGGAGACACATGATGCACACGTGGACGTCGTCTTTTTTGCAGACGAGTCGGGAGTTTTTCAGCGTGCGACTACTGGGCAGCGTGTTGGAGCGAGTGACCAAGGTGGAACTACTAACGGAAGAAAACCTGATCAGAGAGCGGACCGGCCAAGGCTTCTGTTTTGCCACTCGCTACCTGATGGAGTGGCGAGCCGTTCTGGGTGCGGAGGACGAAGGGGACGGGAGACTGCAGTCGCCGTGGAGATCCTCGATGGAACGACTCCACGGAGAGTCGATGGAAGCCGCGTCTCCTCCGGACTCTGGCTGCTCGTTGTCAAACCTGCAAAAATCAAAAGTTGGTTGAACAGCGACCACAGAACGGACGAAGAGAATCTGATCCAACAGGAGGGTTGATCACGTGTTCCCGGCGTGTGCCGTGACGACACAGCTTTAAAACTCATTCGGTACCAGCCAATTCTAGACCAAGTCTGAAAAGACGTTTAAAAACGTCTTTGGGAGTGAATGAGTTAACGTCCGGACTCTGTCTGGGTTCTAAAGTCCAAAAGTCACCCGAATTCACCCGCAGGATGAGCTCCGGCTAACCCGCAACCCGAACGAGGTGTTGAAAACGCTTGGATGAAAGGAATCGACGAGAAATCTGCAGACTTACGTGACAGCGTACTGAGCGAAGGACAAATACTCAACCAGGACATCCAGCCCTCGATTCTCCTCGTTGAGAAACTCTCGAACCCACCTGCACGCAAAAGTACACGTCAGACATACCGGCAGTCGCGTGATATTGACCAAAAAAAAAGGCCAGACGCTTGTGCGGTACCCGATGTGGTTTGTGCGAAGAGAGATCTCGAGTTCTCGCAGAGTCTGAGTCGACTCCTGGACCCGCCTTCGGAACTTCTGCGGGCGCAAAGGCAAAGTTCCGTCTCGTGAGCTCGACAAAAAGTGAATCATAGCGAGCGGTCGTTCCCCGATCGATCGAGCTCCGCAGCCGCTCCGGATGGCCCGACGTACCTTGCGCGTGACCGCCGGGTCGAGGAATCCTCGCAGCTTCTGGATGTAGGTGTGCGGCGGGTTCTTCACCTGGAATCTCTCCTGCAACGCCGACACGATCATTTAGGCAAGGGCTTGCCGAGCCGGCGAGGTTTTCGCCTTGCAACTCTCTGAGCGGCTCCTACCTGATCGCAGATGAGCTCCCACTTCTTCTCGTTGTCATAGGAACGCAGCAAGCGCACCTTGTCTGGGGGAAGGTTCATCGAATTCTGAAAAGAGAATTTCATGTCGCCGTGGCGTCGACTCAAAATGTCTGCTGACACAACCGTCGGTGGACGTTTCCCTTCCGGATCCGAGCTTTCGATTCCCGATCACGAGCTGTCTCGCAGGCGCCTCAACGATAAACGAACGCCAGCAGTCCCCATCGGGCTGGTGCGTGCCGTCATGTAGTATCACCCCGCCCCCCCCTCCGCCATTTCCGACATGTGTGCCATTTCTTTAGCGTATTTGTGTAGTTACCAGTGCGATGGAGAACCTCTCCTCGAGCTCGGCAGCGTCAGGCATCGGGAGTCGGACCGGCGCGGCTCTGGACCGGATCACGGCCAGCTGGCTCTCCATACTCTCGGCGTTCCCCATCACACAAACACACACACACACGCTTCGACCCAAACACACCCACCACAGACAGAGCGCTCAGCACACACACCGCTGCGGGAACATGTGGTCGGCCATAGCACACGAACGCGACTGGAGGTGATGAAGGCAAAAAAACCGTCTCCTCCGCTTGTCTCTCCTCCCAGTCTGCCTCTTCCCAGATGGTGATACGGTCCCCCCAGTCGTCTCCCTCTTTGTCTTTCTCGCCTGCCGCCGCCGCCGCCGGTGATGATGATGCTGATCCCGGTGATGCCGGTGATGTTCGGTGCGGCGTATGCGATAATGTGTGGCGAGCGCGTATGAGCGCGTGTTGCAGATCAGCCGGTTAATCCTGCCCACCTCTCTCCTCCCCCACATAAAGAAAGAGAGTTGTGGCCGCCTCCTCTTTGTCTATGTCTCTCCGCCGCTCGCCGACTTGCGCTCCCCCGTCTTTGTGTCGCTGCCGGCTCGACCCTCCCTCCCTCCCTCCCTGGCTCCTCTGCATCCTCAGACAATGAGGCCTCTGCTGCACTAAGCGCCGCCCCCTCGCACGCTGACGCGCAACGCATCCAGTTCATTTTGAAAGGTGTGTATTGGCCGTCTCTTGGTCGCAAATGTCGGCGTGGATGAAATAAATCGGAGCGAACGTGTCGTTCACTCAGAACGTTCATTCGATTTCCTCCTGCTCGCACATTTCTTGACCAATTCAAACCATTCCAAGAATTCCACTGATTCATGCATGACATCTCCAGAACTATTCCCACATTTTAAAAATGAATGACCACATGGGGAGATATTTCACACGTTTCACTACTCCGCCGTGTCACTTCTGACACGCAACATTTCAATTGCTTCCACATCATTTCAGTTCAGCTTTTTCAGAATTCACATACAGTACAATTTTTTTTTTTTAGTTATATATACCGTAATTTCCGGACTATAAGCCGCGACTTTTGTCACACGCTTTCAACTCTGCGGCTTATTTCATGAAGCGGCTTATATAAAGACTTTTCTAACGGCCGCCCTTGTACCGTCTTTCTTTGTAAATATCTCATGTTACAATATGGGCACCGGCGGTCATGTTTTATTGGTTGTCTTTTTGCCATTAAAAAAATGAGCTGAAAAAAAATTTGGAATCTATGAATGTATCAAACCTGAATAAACTCATGTTTTATATAATTCCCTTCTCAAACTTAAAAAAAAAAAAAAAATCTTTCGGGACATTTCGGCAACATTACTAAGTCAACACCTTCCACATTTCGCAACCCATTCACACATCTGACTTTTCAACATTTGAAAGCATTTCTGGTTTGAAGCATTCACACGCCGTTTCTCCCGATATTGCATTCTCTCGTTTTACATGCGTGAGAGGCAGAACCAAAAGCGAAACTACCATTCAAAATTTTGTCGAAAATGCGAGTCGTGCATGTTATCGATCCGAATACCTCGTTTAAAAAAAAAAAATTCGATTAAACATGATGTACATTTTAAAATAAAATCACGAAATGAATTGCTTACAATTCGATCAGAATAAGGGTCATGCAGTTGACAAATTTCAGCAAACATGTTTTGATGATTTTGATACAGGTTTATTTGTAGAGCACAATTCAGGTCCATAGCGCTTTAGAGAGGAAAAGAAATAGTGAACAAAAATAAGATCGAGCGAAAATCTGACACTCGAGATCAAATCCTAACATAGAAGTCGGGTGAATGAAAAGTGTCAAATGACAACAGACATAACTTAGCAAGTTAAAAAAAACAAAAATCACAAAATAAAAGCAAGATGTGAAAACAAGAAATGTTTGATTTCGAAAAACACGTCACCAAAATGAATTGGAAAAGACTACAAAAACAAAAACAGCTTACAGTGACGGGAGCAAATGAAGTCCGCTGACAGATTCACAGAAGGATTTATGATTTTTTTTTTTTTTTAACCAGAAATTAGTTTAGATAAAACAGGATTTGTAAAAAACATAGGCAAACCCATGCTAACAATTGTAGAACTTTGCACATATTGAGGAGAGAAAATTGGAAGCATAAATGGTGGGAATGGATGCAGAAAACGCATTTGATTCCGTGAGGTGGGAATTCTTCTTAAAGGTCAAGTGTGAAGCCAACTTGGCCAATCATCTTTTGAATCATACTTTGGGCTACAACAATTTCGAGCATACTTTCATGGGATTTTTTTTTAAGCTCAACCCACCCTCGGGTTTATAGTTTGACCAAGAGCAACACCGTCAACAACGAAAATGCTTTTGGTCGGCAATCTCCGGCGAGCGAGGTCACGCCCAGAACGCCGAGTAGCTCGTCAGCCGTCGTCCTGCATCGTTGACATTCCCGTTAACCCGTCTTTGCCATTGTCGTCGAGTTATTCGGCGAAGCACTGCTCACATTCAGGCAAACGGTCGTTTATGAGCGGCCAAAAGAAAAGAAAAAAAAAAAATGGAACGATTGTTTAGTTCCGTCAAAGCGAAATGAATTTCCCGCCGGTGTCGACGAGCATCGAAGGCCTCTGTTTTTCTCAACCGGATTTGCGGAAAAAGGGGGTCGGTGTGCTAGCTAATCAATGAATAACTCTGGCTGTTGTTTATGAAAACATTCGATTTAAAATATGATGGAAGGAATCCTGGTCGAAAAACATTCAAACTATACGAGTGCCTGGATGGAATTTTTTCAACGAACAATGCTGCCGATATAAAACGTGCGGAGTGGCCGACGACGCAAACAGAACGACGTTAGCGATGACAACGTTAGGACACCGAGCCACTTGGGACGTGTGATCTCGGTGCAAGCGAGAAAACGTGGACCAAGCGGGTCATCCCATCGTGCGCAATTTACAGCACGGCACAACATCGAATTGCAAACAATTACGCTAGGCTAATAACCGCAGCCGATATGGCTTAGCGTTCTTCCGATCCCGATGGGTCCCGTCTCCACTGCGTTCGAGCACAACATTTTCGGCATCCTGAGCATCTGGCTCGTACGTGGATGTCTCAACGTCCATCTTGCCATCTTCCCCCAACTTTTGTAACACCAGGATGCCCTCAGATAAACTTGAACCGTCGCTTTTACCGAACCATCGCTTTTCCGAATCAAATTCTGACTGGCTTTGTACACTTTCCACGGTGAGCTCCGCTATTGCTTTAAAGTGACGTCACACTTTCGAGTTTGACGATCGTCAGGATCTCACTTCGGGAAAATGATTACGTTGCTAAATTGACGAAGTATAAATCTTTTTTTTTCATGCTTTATTTAACATACGTTTTAAAAAATTACTTGTGACATAAAAATATTTCGTTTTTAAAAATGACTTCACACTTGACCTTGATAGGTGCTAAGCGGTTCAACTTTCACGAAAGAGGTATTAAGATCATTTCAGGCTTTATAGACAAGCGGACGGAGCGAGGTGAACGGAAGCTTGTCTGTGATTGTCGACAAAGAGGCTCAGTAAGATTCTAAATGAATTTGAAATGATGTATTTGGGTGAGGGCTGGCACAGTCGGTTACTGGTGAACACGTCCGCCTCACAGTGCGCAGGTGCAGGGTTCGATTCCCGGCTGTAGCCTTCCTGTGTGGAGTTTGCATGTTTTCCCCGTGCCTGCGTGGGTTTTCTCTGGGTACTCCAGTTTCCTCCCACATTCCAATAACATGCACAGCAAGCTAACGGAACACTCAAAATTGTCTCGAAAAGGAGTCTTCTTGTTCCCATAGTGTGATTGTCGTCGCAAGGTGATGAGGTCCCGCCAGCGCGAGTTGTGGTGTGTGCGTGTGGCATTTGGCTCTTCTTGTGGTGGACCATCAACTCTGGTTGACGTCCCCGTCAAGAGCGCCGATGGCAGAGTTTGTTCTCTGCTTTGCGGACGTTTGGAGGACTTGCCGGGTGAGCTCTGAGTCAGTTCTCTCCGCATCTCAGATTGAAGCCAGTATGGTTCTTTGGCTGCCTGTTTGCCTGACACCTTCTCAAACTCTGGCAGATTCACAACGGGCGTCCTTCCCAAGGGTCATGGCGATATTTCGGGGTGGATTTCTCGGGAATCCGAGGCACGGACGGACGGTTCTAAAGCGTCTTAAAAGTTTGAGATTGTAAAGGAAAATGCAGACGGGAACGGCAATTATTTTTTCGTAGGACGACAAAGTTAAACCAGTGAGACGCTTGTCCTTCCAAAGGCTTTTCCATTCCAGATTCAATCATTCAATCAACACTGATCAAACGCAATGGACCCCCCCCCCCCGACGATGTTGAAGAGCTAATGATTAATACTTCTTCGGGCTGTAAATTGTCCTTGAAACACCCGTTGCATTCACCTACACAGAGTTCTTTTATATTCAACCGACATCTCATGGACGCAATGGTTCAAACTTTGGAGTAAACTAAGTGATAAAAGTGAAGCTTTCAAACCTTTCCAGCTCCAAAATCAAACCTCCGAGTTTGAAAGATCACTTCTTGAATGTCTTCAAACCCCGACAAACCTCACTCAGTGTTTCCGCCGTGGCCGCTTGCATCCGCAATTTTGAGTGGTCGCCGTTCCCTCAGCTTTGGCCGGTCAGGTCGCCTTTGCTTCCTGCCTGTGATCCATACGCAGCTTTTAGGGGGTGGGAGGGAAAAAAAAAAAATGGGTGCTACGGCTGCCGGAGTGTCGCTCCCTCACCTGTTTCGCCGCCTCCAACAAAGCTTCGGCGTCCGCTGGGCCCAACTGCTGGACCAGCCTGTACAGAGCACCATCTTTGTTCTGAAGAAGGTTAAAAGGGTGATCCAACTCTTGGATTCTGCCCTCATCGAGCACCTGCAAAGCAGGGAGACCACGGGGGCAAGAAGCGTCAGTTGCCGGGCGGACGGCGCTCCGATTGGTTTAGCAAGAGGTGCGTCTCGGCTGAGGAGTGCGACGCTCACCAAGATGCGATCGCTGTCGATGATGGTGTTGAGTCGATGAGCGATGGTGAACACGGTGCAGTCTCGGAACTCCCGTCGAATCGTTACTTGGATCAGCTCGTCCGTTCTGCAACATGGGCCAAACATCGACAATTACGGTACTCATCAGTAGATGTTAGGGTTGAATGATTTTCTCAACTCCACTGTATTTATAGAGCAATTTAAAACAGCCATCGCTGTATACAAGTTGGAGACTGTTGACTTCAGATAAGGAGCCAGAGGGCCCAAGTCTACAGGAAGGGATGTGCAAGGGCCACCGGGACCAAACACCATCCCTTCTGTCTTCTTTTCATTGACATTCAAGACATTTAGTGCCATCCAGGTTTTGATTTCCTCCAGGCAGGATAAAAGTGGCCTTAATGAGAAAGCGTCTTTTTTGATGAGTGGGACGTAGATCTGACAGTCATCCGCATAGCGGTGGAAGGAAATACCATGTTTCCTTAAGATGGAACCCAATGGGAGCAGGTACAGTGAGAACAGCAGAGGCCCCAAAATTGAGCCCTGTGGAACACCACATGACTGGGGGGCAGTACGTGACTCAGGGCAGCCAAGGCTAACACAAAACGTTCTGTGAGCTAAATAGGACCAAAACCACTCAAGAGCGCTACCGCCAATGCCCACCAAGTGCTGCAAACGAGTCAACACAATACTGTGATCCACTGGATCGAATGCTGCAGTTAAATCCGATAAAACCAGACTCATGTAGTCTCCAGTGTCATTTGCCAGGAGGATGTCTATATATATATATATATATATATATATATATATATGCGGGTGCAGAATGTGAAGCACCAGGTGGAAATTAAATACAGTATTGGCTACTTGCTCCACAACCTCATTATTAATAACCAGGTAAGCGCGAACTTCATTACCAATCCTGAAATCAGTGATATTTTTACGATCTCCTTCTCCCTGTATTTATTTTCAAATTGTCGTTCATAATGCGCTTTGGGTAACCACAACCAGCTTGTCTCCGGCACCTGGGGTCCACGTTGGCCGTGGCCTCGTCAATGACGAGGATGCGGTTCTTTCTCAGGATGGCTCTGGCCAGACACACCAGCTGCCTCTGACCGACGCTGAAGTTGGAGCCGCACTCGGCGAGAACCGTCTCCAACTTGGTGGGCAGTTCCTCCACCATGCACTTGAGCTGGACCTGTCAGCGATGCCGAAACATGGTCACATCAGGTGTGTGCGTGCGTGCGAGAAGGAGAGTCAGCGTCTAAGGAGGGCGAGACGGATATTTGCCTGCTCCAGAGCCTTCCACAGGTCAACATCTGTGTGCTGGTTAAAGGGGTCCAGGTTCTTCCTCACAGTATCCGTAAAAAGCAGCGGGTCCTGGTTTACAGGGGTACAAAGATCACATTAAAATGACTAACGGCCACTTCAAGCCGTCCCGTCAGCTACCTGAGGTATGATCGACATCTTCTGTCGCAGGTCGTGCAAGCCCAACTCGGACGTCAAGACGCCATCGATGTAGATGTTCCCTTGTGGCTCCGCCAGACGAAAGAGAGCAGCCACCAAAGAGCTTTTCCCGGCTCCCGTCCGCCCCACAACGCCCACCTGACCAACGCAACGCAGACAAGCGTGAATTTTCTCTGTCGGAGTCGACGCGATGGGAAAATCGTCTCACCTTCTCGTTCGGGCGGAAGACGGCATTGATGTCCTTGAGGATGAGAGGGCCGTCCACGCGATACGCCAAATGCACCCGGTCAAAGGTAACCTGGCCTCGGCTGGGCCAATCGCGAGGAGGTCGCGTCGGGGTTACCCAGGGCGCTTCGCTCTTGAGCTCGGTGTACTCCACCACCCTCTCCACCGATGTCATCTGAGGACACGGGCATTTTTGATGTTGAAAAGTCCCACCGACCTTGTGAAAAACTACATATTCGCACGCCGCTCGGCATATACCGTGTTCTCTAACTCTGCACTTTGCCTCACAGTCCACTGGAAGTTTCCGATAAGCGTCACAGCGTACGTCAGCACGAGGCCCACCTCGCCGGCCTCCAAACCTGACACAAAAAAAAAAGAGAGAAAAAAAAACAAAACAAAACAAAAAAAAAAAACAATTACATAAAACAATTTGAACTATTTGTTTCTTACAGCACATCCGAGATGGAAAACTGGAGGAACATGTCTTGACCCGGCAATTTTTTACTTTGCCATTTTATTGTTTTTTTTTGTTTTTACTGAAAGAAAAGTTATTTCTTTGGTCGGCCGCCGATGAGCAAGCTACGCAGCCTTCGTAATTTTTGCTCTCAAGGCAA